TATTACTCTGAAATCAAATAAATATACTTTTATTTAGGTTATTTATCAAAATCTACATTTTTTCCTTTATTTATTTATCCATTTATTGCATATATTTATTTATGTATTTCTACATTTCTTCATTTATTTATTTATGTATTTCTGTGTCGCTGCATTTCTTCATTTATTTATTTATGTATTTCTACATTTCTTCATTTATTTATTTATGTATTTGTGTCGCTACATTTCTTCATTTATGTATTTCTACATTTCTTCATGTATTTATGTATGTATTTCTGTGTCGCTACATTTCTTCATTTATTTATTTATGTATTTCTACATTTCTTCATTTATTTATTTATGTATTTCTGTGTTGCCGTATGCTAATTAGGTGGGCGGTGCTGAACTCAATCTAGAACAGGATTGGTTAGGATTGCGTGAACTCTGGTCTCGATCATTACTGCCTCACATTACGGTACTCTGCTAGCTAGCTAGAGATCCTCTGTGCACTTTTGTGTGGTATGATGGCAGTTTCGAATGTAAGTTTTTTAGGAGCCATTGCTCATCAATTAAGAGCATTAGCAAATGATGTTAATGATGTTGAGCATAATGCACCTGAGGACTATCTACTCTTTCGGCTGGAAAGACTATTAAATGTTTTAGTTCATCACAGTGCTGACCCAGAGGTAGACTTTGATGCAACTGTGCTGGACGCTCTTCAACAAGCAGCAGCTTCACATCCTCTCACAAACCGAGAAGGCTAAAGCTTAGCGTACATCAGACTGGCAACTGATTATATCCGTCGCATATGAGTTGCTGCCCCGCACACATCGACAATCTGACGAAAACGGGCAACTCCCAGTATCAGACCGGTCTCGGGAATAACAGCGCGTACATCGACAGCAACTGGCCTCAACTACAGTGTGTTTTCTGACAAACTGTTGCGGGCGCGCAATACACGCAATACACACACTTTGTCGGAGCGGCGCATGGAGCGCGCACATCGGGTCATATCTCCGAAACTGAGGACAACTAGTTGCCGAAAAGTAGAACACGGGCAACTGACTGAAACTGGAGACCGACTGTTCATCTCCAGTTGTAAGAGCGCGCACATCGACCGATTTCAACTGATCATCTCCCACCATCTCCTCTCAGTTGCCAAAAGCCGCCTTGCAACTTGTCTCCAGTTTCTCTGTTGATGTACGCTAGGCTTAACTTTGCTTCTGTCTGGTTGCCCTGGCTGACCTACTGCCCACCAATCCTGTTCTAGATTGAGTTCAGCACCGCCCGCCTAATTAGCATACGGCAACACAGAAATACATAAATAAATAAATGAAGAAATGTAGAAATACATAAATAAATAAATGAAGAAATGTAGAAATACATAAATAAATAAATGAAGAAATGTAGCGACACAGAAATACATAAATAAATAAATGAAGAAATGTAGAAATACATAAATAAATAAATGAAGAAATGTAGAAATAGATAAATAAATATATGCAATAAATGGATATATAAATAAAGGAAAAAATTTAGATTTTGATGATTAACCTAAATAAAAGTATATTTATTTGATTTCATAGTAATATTTAACACATCAATGTAAATATTTAGTTTTTATGGTCCAAAATGAATGTATTTATTAATATATTCCTGTATTTATTTATTTATTTATTTATTTATACTTTAGTCATTTTTGGTCCTCCATATGGCACGTACAGCTCCTCGGTGACATGCCAGAGACGATGGTTAGTTTTTGCAGGATAATTGATTAACAATTAGGTGGTTGACGACCCTTACATCTCTTCTTTCAGTAATTACCGGCACCTTGCGTTCCGGAATGTGGTCAGGTGGTGTTGGGGTTACCTAGGCCAGAACATCAGAGTCGTGATCCCGTCCTGTGACGCGTATCAGGCTGGAGTTCCCTGATGTGGCTTACACGGGGTTCCTCCCTGTCCTGATTTTCATGGCCAATAAACATCAATATAAACACAAATGCCATCTGAACATTTTTATTGCTTGTCTTAATGTTTTTCCTTCAGATCTTATAACGTGCATATTTGTACAATAAGCATCCAAATGCAGATTGGTGCACAGGAGGAAAAAATATATTAACAAATATACAATATACTTTGTCATATTTATATACACATTGAGCATTTAAACCACGATTGTACAGTATCTAAATGCAAACTTAGATAATTGAACAGTTTTTGGTTGTTGAGTGTGGGACATTCTGGAGCCACTGACATTTATCTCACAACACAGCAGTTGATAATAAAACAAATACAGATGGATAATGGACTGAGCATGTTCAGGCGCTGCCACAGCAGAAGCGTGAACGCCACACCCCCTGGACCCAGAGTCATCACAGCTCAAGGCCTGTAGGGTTATATGGTAATGAGGAAGTGTTGGTCTTGTACAGAGATCATGGACCCAGTGACTGATTGTGTCTGAAATTATATTGATTATTATTTTTTAGATACGACTTGTGAAAGTAATGCTGTTTATAGGAAATACCCACTAGACCCTGTGACATAATCATATTTCAGAACCTGAAAGCAACCAATTCCCAAAAAATTCCCAAAAAAACACTTTACCCCTTCATTACTGGTGCAGAGTAGAGCTGGTCATCTTGTGATTGGAGAATTGGCGGCTCAAATCACGCAGGTGCACACTGTCCTTGGGCAAGACACTTCACCCTCTTTGCCTCCAGTGTCTGCATTCACTGGTGGATGGATTGGTGACTGGTTCCTTGATGTGAAGTACTTTGAGCTCCTAAAGAAAGTAGAAAAGGTGCTGTATACATGTGACAATTTGCATTCACAATGTATTTAGTGTGAAATACAACCATTAAATGTATTACTAAACTTGATCAACACAACATTATCATCACAGTTGAGGTGGGCTCTCGTGGCGGTACCTGAGACTGAGGTCCACCCCGTCTCACCCACACCTCTAATTCATTGTTAGATACAATTTTGTTTGTTTGTTGCTTTTTAATGTGTAGGCTGTGTGTTTCAGTGGCGACGTTTGGACAGAGGTCTGTCTTCTTCAGGCCTCACACAGACTGCTGTGAGATGTGAGTGGAGTTCCTTTTATTAGGCTGGACCCGCCCCTTTGGCGGACTCCGCCTATGATTGACAGCTGGTATGTAAATAGTGTAATCATGGGGCTTCTGTATGTTTAATTCGTTTTTAAGGTTTCAGATTTAGTTTGGATTTTTTATTGGAATGGTTCGGTTTAGGCTTTTATGTTGGATAAAAGCCTAAACCTAGACCCATTCTACCATCAAAGTCCAACATGCTCTGGTTGGGCCCTGCTACCTAGAACTAAGTTACTGAGACACATTTAGCATTTAGCCCCAATGTATATATAGAAGATGACAAGATATTTAGCTAACCCTGACGCTGTTACAGCCCCGATCATTGACTGTAACAATAAGAAATGGGGACGACACAACAAGCTGGTTTTATTGTAAATTCAGGCTTTTTATTGATGAATAATAATCACACTCTCGTTGCTCTGGGCCTGAAATGCACCACGGCATCTGTCAAAGATGTTCCTTGTCTTTGGTTTTCCCATGCACGAACAATCTTATTCTGTATAATAAGAAGTTGAAAAAAGAAAAGAGGTCAACTTTACCTTGTGTTACAAAATCTCAACCTTAGTTCAAATAAAGTATAGAAACAAACAAAATGTGGGGACGTGTTTTTGCATCAACCATTAAAGGTGCACATGATAAAAAAGGAAACTAGCTGTTTAAATGATCCAATATCACACTATGTTTTACTTTCAGGACCCAATATCTCCACACAAAGTCCTCTGGAGCTGCCTAATATCCCGGTCAGCACTAGATCATGAACGGAATCGGGACGGAAGTGGAAGTAACAATCCATTAAAACCAACTACCTAAACTTAACCAGCCACTACCATAGAATAAATCCAACCCACCCTTAACCCTAACCTTAACATCTTACTCAGACCACCTTAACCCTAACCTTAACCATCTTACTCAGACCACCTTAACCCTAACCTTAACCATCTTACTCAGACCACCTTAACCCTAACCTTAACCATCTTACTCAGACCACCTTAACCCTAACCTTAACCATCTTACTCAGACCACCTTAACCCTAACCTTAACCTTCTTACTCAGACACCTAAAAGTTAACCAGTCACCATTTAAGGTGACTCTGAGATGACTGCTGTTGTGATTTAGGGCTATACAAGAATACGTTGTTGTTGTTAAGGACTTATTTCCATCCAACCCGCCTAACCTTAACCCTTCTACTCAACAGACTAATGGTGCATTCAGACCGCAAACTCTCAAACGCTGAAGCCCCGCTCACCAGACGCACATTCTCTAGTTTTCAGACGCAGGGGTCTTCACACCAGAACGTCCTGACGCGAGCCGGAAGTGCCGGAAGTAGCCGGCCGGCTCTAATGCTAACAGAGCTATGCTAGCGGCTTCTTGTGTACAGATCTTCTCCAATATGCAGCTTTGCAGCACAGACATTCCACGGACTTTATATAACAGCAGTATGTGTTCACGGAGGTGACTTTATATAACAGCAGTATGTGTTCACGGAGGTGACTTTATATAACAGCAGTATGTGTTCACGGAGGTGACTTTATATAACAGCAGTATGTGTTCACGGAGGTGACTTTATATAACAGCAGTATGTGTTCACGGAGGTGACTTTATATAACAGTAGTGTGTGTTCACGGAGGAGGTGACTTTATATAACAGCAGTATGTGTTCACGGAGGTGGCTTTATATAACAGCAGTATGTGTTCACGGAGGTGCGCCATACGTTTTTGTAATATTAAACAGTATTTCCACATCGGCGAACACACTCGAAGCAGTTGCATAAGGTCATGGGAGCATGACAACGCATATATTCACAAGCACAGAGTCCCCCATTGTCAACACTGGTTTATTCCTGGTTTAGTCCTGGTTTAGTCCTGGTGTAGCTCCTGTTTTGGCTGTTTACAGTATGAAAGTGGTCACGGGGTCACCTGGGGCCTGCCTGGAGCCTGCCTGGAGCCTGTCTGGGGCCTGCCTGGAGCCTGTCTGGAGCCTGTCTGGGGCCTGCCTGGAGCCTGTCTGGGGCCTGCTGGGGCCTGCCTGGGGCCTGTCTGGGGCCTGCCTGGGGCCTGCCTGGGGCCTGCCTGGAGCCTGTCTGGGGCCTGCCTGGGGCCTGCCTGGGGCCTGTCTGGGGCCTGTCTGGGGCCTGCCTGGAGCCGGCCTGGCAGACTGTACAGTCTACCATAGAACTTTTCGTGACACAAAACAATGAGAAATATTTTAGCCTGTCTTTTTATAAGCTTGTTCTTTGCACTCATCATGTTATAATTAATTACAAAAACTACCTCTAAGAGTGTGTTAATCCTACAAAATATAATCTTTCATTTGGCCCTCGGTGTTTATATAGAAACACTGAGGGCCAAATGATAGATTAGGCTCTCAGCTTTGATGTGCAAAAAACAGCTTGTTTTTACCATTTACCGTTTTTTGAGTAATCATTGAATATAATACACAGTTTAATCCAAAACATTGCCATCGCTCGGGTTCGGTCGTCACGGCCGACCACTGTTCATACGATATAAAGTTATCTGTTAATGAAGAACGTGGCAAGTTTTGTATCAGACGAAAAGTGACACCAACTCATTGCTGCAGGAGCTGTTGTGCCTGTACAAGTCGACCGCTTGTGTCAAATCAGTCGGCCCTTGGGGGCCCCCTGCTGGTTTGAAACTAAACTAGTTCATTTATAAAGTCAATTTTTCATCACAATTGTTAAAGTCAACAGTGTGCCTCCAGTCTGTGTAGAGACCTCCCCTGAGGAAGACAAAAGAGATGTCAAAACGTCGCGCACAGGAATATTCTACACACTATCTCTATTTAAAGAGCAATTTTTCAAACCCTCAGACGCAAGAAGGTCGCCACTGGCGGGCTAGTGCCCGGGGATCTTAGCCTTGGTCCAGAGTTAGGGAGAGGGCCCGTGCATTACTGTGTCCCTTGGGTCATAATTCTATAGCCTCACCCGGTCTCTGGACCACACACTATATATGTACAAGCTAGAATGCTAACCTACCGTAGCTCATAGCCCTAACCTTAACCACAGAGCGGAACAGCCCTAAACTTAACCAGTCACAGGAAAATCTAAATTGAAACTAAATCAGTTTTTATTAAAATTTTATACACTCAACAAGAGTGGGGGGGGGGGGGGGGGCGGATAGCCTGGTTGTACCACACCATAGTACCAAGTTAACAGGTGGGAGGGGTTAACTCCTTTTGCAGATTGAAACAATTGGATCTGAGTTTACCGTGACATATGTAGTGGGCTCGAGTGAGTTTTTAGCATTTAGCCTAGCTTTAGCCATCTCCTTTGCTGCTAACGGAGCCCGTGGGGAGTAGCGCCGCATTTTTGTCCAGCGATTACATTTGCTAAACATTCCTCTTGCTCCGACTTCAATTTCTTGATAGAACCAGACCAGAATACTTTACTATCACATTTTTTGCCACTGCCAAACTACAACCTGCCCGTTCGACGCAAACTCCTGACATCACCCACAACTAACTACAACACCCACCTCCCGCGCTCTCTGATTTGTCGGTCGAAATTCAACCGATTGTAATCGCTAACCCAGGGACCAGACCCAGACGTTACATGCAGGAAATGATGATTGACCAGAGTGTACGGATGGATAAGGCCAGGCTAGGGGGCAGAGCCTGTGCCTATAAAGAGAACACCATACAGAGGGCCTCCAGTCAGTTTGCAGAACTCGCCTGAAGAAGACACAAGAAGCTGTCGAAACGTAGCGCATATATATATTCTTGAACCCCCTGGACACAGGATGTGCCGGGGACCTCCGCTCAGTCCAGAGTCAAGGAGAGGGCCCCTTCGGGGGGCAGTCGCTTTTTATGCATCTTGGAATAAAAGTAAATGACAAAGACAATTTTCACACATTTATTTAACTGGTTTTGTATCATGTGATTCTGCAGAGCAGATTCACTCACATTCACAATGAACAAATGAAAAACATCGTGTGACATCATTACAGAACTCTGTTTTACAAAACTGAAACAACATGATCTATTCTAGCGTGAACACATTAACTACAGAAACTACATCGCCGTCACATCCGGTTATGGCTCACTGTGCTGTCGCCTCATTCCCCCCAGCCTTAACCCTAGGCCCTAGGGCTAGGGTTGTGTCTCAGAGTTAGGGTTAAGTGTCAGGGTTAGGGTTCAGTGTCAGAGTTAGGTTTCAGGGTTAGGGTTAGGGTTCAGTGTCAGAGTTAGGGTTCAGTGTCAGGGTTAGGGTTAGGGTTAAGGGTTAGGGTTCTGTGTCAGGGTTAAGTGTCAGGGTTAGGGTTAAGTGTCAGAGTTAGGGTTAAGTGTCAGAGTTAGGGTTCAGTGTCAGAGTTAGGGTTCAGTGTCAGAGTTAGGGTTCAGTGTCAGGGTTAGGGTTCAGTGTCAGAGTTAGGGTTCAGTGTCAGGGTTAGGGTTAAGTGTCAGAGTTAGGGTTAGGGTTAAGGGTTAGGGTTCAGTGTCAGGGTTAGGGTGAAGTGTCAGAGTTAGGGTTAAGTGTCAGGGTTAGGGTTAAGTGTCAGAGTTAGGGTTAAGGTTAAGGGTTAGGGTTCTGTGTCAGGGTTAAGTGTCAGGGTTAGGGTTAAGTGTCAGAGTTAGGGTTAAGTGTCAGAGTTAGGGTTCAGTGTCAGAGTTAGGGTTCAGTGTCAGAGTTAGGGTTCAGTGTCAGGGTTAGGGTTCAGTGTCAGAGTTAGGGTTCAGTGTCAGGGTTAGGGTTAAGTGTCAGAGTTAGGGTTAGGGTTAAGGGTTAGGGTTCAGTGTCAGGGTTAAGTGTCAGGGTTAGGGTTAAGTGTCAGAGTTAGGGTTAAGTGTCAGGGTTAGGGTTCAGTGTCAGAGTTAGGTTTCAGGGTTAGGGTTAGGGTTCAGTGTCAGAGTTAGGGTTAAGTGTCAGGGTTAGGGTTAAGTGTCAGGGTTAGGGTTAAGTGTCAGGGTTAGGGTTCAGTGTCAGAGTTAGGGTTCAGTGTCAGAGTTAGGGTTAAGTGTCAGGGTTAGGGTTAAGTGTCAGGGTTAGGGTTAAGTGTCAGAGTTAGGGTTAAGTGTCAGGGTTAGGGTTAAGTGTCAGAGTTAGGGTTAAGTGTCAGAGTTAACTGTGCTTAGTGTACATCTATCAAGTCCACAGCATCACTTCACCTAAGGCCAAAAGGAAACATGAAAGAAGCCGTTATCGACTAATGGAAAAGACTAACCCTAACTCCCTCACCCTCTAACCCTTTAACCCTCAACCCTAATCCTCACCCTCTAACCCTCACCCTGACATTTTCTAACATTGAAATCCTGATCCTAAGACCTCAGCATCTGGTGTTTATGCAGAATAATGACCATGTTCATATGATCAGCAGGGTCAGGGTCAAAGGTTAAGGTCAAAGGGTCAGGGTGAAAGGGTTAGGGTCAAAGGTTAAGGTCAAAGGGTTATACAAATGGACCTTCGGTTATTGAGAATTAAAGACATTTTAGTTTGTAGCTTTGAAGCTCGGTACCGTTTTCATAATGAACACATTTGGGTTTATTTACCAAAAGCTTTTTTTCTCAACCTCAGTCCTGGATCTACAGCCTCAGTCCTGGATCTACAGCCTCAGTCCTGGATCTACAGCCTCAGTCCTGGGTCTACAGCCTCACTCCTGGGTGGATGTGTTTGTCTTTATGGACTAGTAGCTGTTTTCATGATTTGATTTTCTAATCTGCTGATTTTGTGGTAAACAAAAATAAATGTGTTTTGATTGGATTGGTTTGAAAGTTAGGTCCCCCAGCTTTAACAGAGCACATTTGTAATGCCTTACTTCTGCTCAATGCACTACAATAACATATTTGTTACTCGTTAAAGTGAATCAAAGAAACTGTTTCATTCGTGAATATTTGGTTTGACTTAAAACCGTTAGAATGTACAGTTTCAGAGGTTTCATGCACGTCGTTATTAGCACTTTATTAAAACAAGCAGGTGCCGAGGGACTGTGTCGGTCTGGAACCCTAATGGTAAATACTTCCTGGTATTTGTTATATAGACATTTATATTTACATTATAAGACACATTTTAACAGAATAAATTTGTGCAACAGGGATTTGGGACATGAGGCATTTCTCATGTTTCTATGGCACATGTAGAGATGAGACGGAGACGAGAGTGAGAAGCAGTGTCCCTCCTGGTTAGGGTTAGCCACACATGGTTAGGGTTAGCCCCACATGGTTAGGGTTAGCCCTGACCCTGACACATGGTTAGGGTTAGCCCTGACACATGGTTAGGGTTAGTCCTGACCCCGGCACATGGTTAGGGTTAGCCCTGACACATGGTTAGGGTTAGTCCTGACCCCGGCACATGGTTAGGGTTAGCCCTGACCCCGGCACATGGTTAGGGTTAGCTCTGACACATGGTTAGGGTTAGTCCTGACCCCGGCACATGGTTAGGGTTTGCCCTGACCCTGGCACATTGACCCTGGCACATGGTTAGGGTTAGCCCTGACCCTGGCACATGGTTAGGGTTAGTCCTGACCCTGACACATGGTTAGGGTTAGTCCTGACCCCGGCACATGGTTAGGGTTAGCCCTGACCCCGGCACATGGTTAGGGTTAGTCCTGACCCTGACACATGGTTAGGGTTAGCCCTGACACATGGTTAGGGTTAGTCCTGACCCTGACACATGGTTAGGGTTAGCCCTTACACATGGTTAGGGTTAGTCCTGACCCTGACCCCGGCACATGGTTAGGGTTAGTCCTGACCCCGGCACATGGTTAGGGTTTGCCCTGACCCTGGCACATTGACCCTGGCACATGGTTAGGGTTAGCCCTGACCCTGGCACATGGTTAGGGTTAGTCCTGACCCTGACACATGGTTAGGGTTAGTCCTGACCCCGACACATGGTTAGGGTTAGCCCTGACCCTGACACATGGTTAGGGTTAGCCCTGACACATGGTTAGGGTTAGCCCTTACACATAGTTAGGGTTAGTCCTGACCCTGACACATGGTTAAGGTTAGCCCTGACACATGGTTAGGGTTAGCCCTGACCCCGGCACATGGTTAGGGTTAGTCCTGACCCCGACACATGGTTAGGGTTAGTCCTGACCCTGACACATGGTTAGGGTTAGTCCTGACCCTGACACATGGTTAGGGTTAGCCCTGACCCTGGTACATGGTGAGTCTATGGCTCTATCCTAAAGTGGCAGTTTGGCATAGAAGTGATTTTACCAGCACACTCTTGGCAGTAGTTCCACAGTAATTATAACATTATCTGCTATAATCACAAAATCACTTACAAATAACTCACAGTAAAGAGACATATTATGTAAAGAGACTGTTAAACTTCAGGGTTAGTACCTTCGAAAACATGCTTGGCTTTTGCATAAAGACAACACAAAAATATGTATTAAAAGAAGGGATTCCCAGTGAAACGTGAAAATTCAGTTATTTAATAGTTCCTCCCCTCGTCTCGAACCCAATGAATCTAACTCTATGTGGATCTAACTCTATGTTAGAGTTACCTGTGGAGAGGTGGTTTCTAAGAATACTTTAACATAATATGTCTCCTTTAAAATCTTTTAGACGGATTAGAAAAACAAGACACTTTGCACACATCATCAAAACCACTGAGAGAACAACAAAAGACTATAAACAACTCCAGTTTGTCGCTAATAACACAATCATTCAAGTTTACCACTGAAGCCAAGTGTTTCAATGCTAGTCCTTGGATGTGACAGAGAGTACACAGGTACAGAGTACAGGTACAGAGTATACAGCACAGAGCAAAAGTTTGGACACCCTCTCTCCTTCACTGAGTTCTTTTCATGACTATTGCTGTAGACCCACACCAGGCTGTGTAAGGGACCATCTGGACCTGAACCCAGTCCAGATGGTTTTGGACCTGAACCCAGTCCAGATGGTTTTGGACCTGAACCCAGTCCAGATGGTTTTGGACCTGGACCACAGAGTGAAGAGGCCAACAAGTGCTAAGCATCATGGGAACTCCTTCCAGACAGTTGAAGACCATTTCAGGTCCTCTTGAAGCGCACCCAGAGAATGCCAAGAGTGAAGCAGTATCAGAGCAAAAGGAGCTACTTTGAAGAACCAGAATATAACACATGGTTTCACTTGGTTCATACTTTTTTATTACGTACATAGTTCACATGAGTTCATTCATAGGTTTGAGGCCTTCAGTGTCAATCTACAATTTTCATAATCATGAAAATAAAAACTCTTTGAATGAGAAAGTGTGTCCAAACTTTTGCTCTGTACTGCAGGTACAGGTACAGAGCTGATGAACCCAGAGGGAACCTGAAATACTGAGCTCCAGCTGCCAGAGAATACACACTCAGTAACCAACAGGGTTCTAACCCCATAACCCTCAGAGGGCCCTAACCCTAACCCACAGTTACACCAAGCGCCCCCAAACACCCAAATGCTCACACGCAGCTGAGCAGCTCTATTTCTTATGGCTCACTGTGGCGTATCTTGTTAGGGTTAGGGCCCTCTGAGGGTTAGGATTAGGGCCCTCTGAGGGTTAGGGTTAGGGCCCTCTGAGGGTTAGGGTTAGGGCCCCCTGAGGTTAGGGTTAGGGCCCTCTGAGGGTTAGGATTAGGGCCCTCTGAGGGTTAGGGTTAGGGCCCTCTCAGGTTAGGGTTACGGCCCTCTGAGGGTTAGGATTAGGGCCCTCTGAGGGTTAGGGTTAGGGCCCCTTGAGGTTAGGGTTGGGGCCCTCTGAGGGTTAGGATTAGGGCCCTCTGAGGGTTAGGGTTAGGGCCCTCTGAGGGTTAAGGTTTACCCAAGTTGCATTCACAGATTTTGAAAAGAACTACAATGGTCTGAGTCTGTAAGTTGTGAAGCTGGAGCGCGGTGTGAACAGGCCGCTGGCGAAGACTGTGATGCTCAACTTGTCCACTAGGGGCAATGTTGGAGACATTCACGAGGACAGACATTTGTGCTTCCAACGTGCAGCCGGGACAGGACACATAGGTAGTAAAGGGAACACTCAGATTGTGCTGTCATTGAAGAGTCAAACTAAACTGGAAGGTTCTAAGGGGGGGGGGGGGGGGGGGGGGGGGTTAGGGGGGCGGGGTCAAAAATGCTTCAAGTCTGAGGTCATTTTTGAATGTAGGTCACTTGCGTCACTGCTTCATTCAGCTCAAATGAAGGATGAGTGGTTATTGCATGGTGACATGGAGTGTCCATATGTGTAGGACCAGGGGCGTCATTACTTGAGAACCTGGCCCCTGGTCTCTGGGAGCTTGAGGGCCAGGAAGCTGCCTACAGCCAATGCCCCAGAGGCAAACATTATAGGCACCGCTTTAGTGATGCCCACGAACGATGTGAAGATACTGATCCCAAGGACCGCAGCCAGTTTACACAGAGCATTCAGGAAACCGAACGCAGTGGTTCTGGAACAGAAGAGCAGATTATCAGGGGGAGGTGAGGGTCTGGTGGAGGTGAGGGTCTGGTGGAGGTGAGGGTCTGGTGGAGGTGAGGGTCTAGTGGAGGTGAGGGTCTAGTGGAGGTGAGGGTCTAGTGGAGGTAAGGGTCTGGTGGAGGTGAGGGTCTGGTGGAGGTGAGGGTCTGGTGGAGGTGAGGGTCTAGTGGAGGTGAGGGTCTAGTGGAGGTGAGGGTCTAGTGGAGGTGAGGGTCTAGTGGAGGTGAGGGTCTAGTGGAGGTAAGGGTCTAGTGGAGGTAAGGGTCTGGTGGAGGTGAGGGTCTGGTGGAGGTGAGGGTCTAGTGGAGGTGAGGGTCTAGTGGAGGTGAGGGTCTGGTGGAGGTGAGGGTCTGGTGGAGGTAAGGGTCTGGTGGAGGTGAGGTATCCATGGCAACCTACTCAGTGTATTCATCTTTATCTCTAAGTTCTGTCTCATATTTAGTGAAACTGGTAAATACACTTCTACATTGCCTACATTACATTTATAACATTATGTAATTAGTTATTTAATCAATAACATGTGATTACCCACTAAACATCCGACGTCCACTCAACCTCCAGATCACGTCAATATCGCGTCGGTCGGTCGTGACCTTTTATTTACGTCCAAACGACGTCTGTGCGAAGTGCGCATCTGGACGTAAAACAATGACCTCCCATATACGTGGATATGACGTCCAATCCCGACCTCCCCTAGACGTGGAAAACAGGTCATCGGCCGTCCGACGCAGTACGTCTTGATCTAACAATACAATATATAGGCTGTGAAGTAACCTAAATGTACCTAACGGTAGTGTAGTGGTTAAGCAAATGTGTGCAGCCTTGGTTACGTGAGTTTGAGCCCACGTGTGTGTATCATTATCTTTACATATTTGTTTCAATTTTTAGCGAACAATTTTTTTCTGTTTGGTTAAAGACTAATAAACACTCAACATAGGATTACGTAGTGGCTAATAATAAAACTTGTGAATGTAGGCATTTGTTGTGCTAACAATCTCAAGTTTGCAAATAAGGGGTGAGCACTTGAGATTTTATGCAAATGCATGGGTTCACAAGTTTTATTATTAGCCACTACATAATCTTATGTTGAGTGTTTATTCGTTTTTAACCAAACAGAGAAAAATTGTTCGCTAAAAAGTGAAAAGTCAAAAATTTTCCGAACAGGGATTTGAACCCGCGTCATTGCGACTGAAGTCTCATTACGCAACCGCTACACCACCGCCAGGCATTTTTTCTGACTACTGTGAAAAAATAATAGATAACACCCTAAACAACCGACGCACACTTATGCGAGGTTACAGCCTGACACGTGAGTCGGTCGAGGACCTGTTTTCCACGTCTAAACGACGTAAGGTGTGCATCTGGACGTAAAGCAATGCCTTCCCAGACGTTGATATGACATTGAATCTGTACCTCTGTCGCTGCCCTGCTTTATTTACTTGGAATCACCCTCTCTACTAAGTACACAGTCTGCACAGTTTTTAGATATAGATGTATCATTTCCACATTGAAAAGAGTTGGAGACAGAAAGTAAGTTGTTTTCTCACGTATACGTGGATTTTGTTAAAGTGATAGTCTGTAACTCTAAATGAATTACAAATTTTAGGAAATGTGTTAAATTGACCTCCTGGCCTTAAATGTTGATATAAAATAAGTCAATCCATCCATCCATCCATTTTCTACCCTTTAATCCATTTCTGGGTCAGGGGGGTGGCAGTCAGAGATGCCACCCAAGTCTCATAGCACCAGCCCCTCATTAATTCTAATATTACGGGCAAGTCCCGCCTTCCCTGCTCTTAGCTATAGTTCAGAATCCACGGTGCCGTCGAGGTTAACCAATCGAGTCATGCCAAGGGCTGTCAATCATCGGCGCTGATGCTCGCAGCTGCGCGCATGCTCAGTTGTTTGTTTTTGCGGAGCCTCTATTAGGCTCTGGAACTACATGAAAACTGAACAAAAAATTCTGAACATCCGTGCTGAGGTACTTATGTATATACTGAACCTATATCCATAATCAGATCCTCTGCAGATGTGTCCTATAATGTGCAATTCATGATAATAGCACTTCCTGGTTTGCTGCGATCGCTTTTTTGTGTGCATAAAAACATTTTTTTTTTCATTAAAACGTTCACAAATAATTCTGAAAACCTCCGTGCATGTGTATTAATAATGTATATGTATAATGTGTTCTCTGATTAACATTTCAAAGTGTTACGGAAACGTAGGTGTAGACCAATCAGAAAGGAAGGGGGAGGAGCTTGCGTCGTTTTTTTCAAATCAAGTACCTCTCTGTCTCTCTTTCTGACTAACTCCAGAAAATCACTTTAAGTATATTTTGTATATTATCTGTATTTTTAATTGCCAGTGCATGAATCTATAATAATAACGACTGGCACTGCTCAGCTGAAAGGGAGACACCTTTTTTTAGTTTTTAAGTAAAGTTTAAAATATGATATTGTTTTTCATATTTCAAACTATTTTTAACACATTAGAATTCTTAGGTTAGACTGTCCAACAAACTATGTGTTAAAAAAGGTTAAGATTCTTGAGTTTTAAAATAATAATTCAATTCTAAAATGTAAAGTTACTGTATATTTCACAATGGTTTATAAACTGCAAAAAGACAACAGTACTTAGTAAACTAAGTTTAAAAACAGGGAGATCAGCTTTAATATTTGGGACACCCATCATTTAGACACCTGTGATGTCATCAGTTGGAGTTGAGATCAGGTGTGGGACCATGTGGGACCATGTGGGACCATAGGAGCACACAGATGTTACCTGCTGCAGAAAGAGAGTTTAATGTTCATGTATTGCTTTGTTTAATAAATGGATTTAATGTCTTCAATGTCAGAGACTTTCACTTCTTCTCACTGTGGCTGTTTAACTCATTGACTGCCATTGACGCATTTCTCTTCCCACTTTTCGACTGGGGGATTACAGAAGAACTAAACTAGCTAGAAGCAAACCTATTTTTGCTGATGAAAGTAGACAGTCCAGTCTTTCAGAATCTGGTTTCATATTTCACCTAGCAACAGCACACAATATTCTGTGGGTCTTGAAAGTCAGTGAACTCATCAAAAACGGCTGGCAAATGAGCCACTACAGTTGTTATTTTTGTTATTGTTAGCTGCAAATATTAAATATCCATTCATCTGCTGGTAGCGCGCTAACTAGCGCTTGCAACTCTATTCAATTTCTTACTTTTTCTTATAAACTTTAAAACAAGCCATATGTTAATTAAAATACATTTACCTTTGCTAATGCAGTCAATTATTGTGAAATCCATAGAGTATAATTTCATGATTGTTGCAATAACTAATGTTCTGTGTGTATTCCTAATGTGTCATGTGTGTTTGAGTCTTACAGGTGTCAGACTGTGTTGAAGATGTTCAAAGGTAAGAATCACACTCTCACACATTGATTGTTCTTCTGTATTATTATGTTGTTTTTAGAATAAACCATTATTTGGTGTATTCTCTTTGAAAACATCTATCTTTTTCTCAGATTGTTCAGCAACTCACTCAAGATGAGGGAAAAGAGCAACAAGGGGAAAATGCCCCCTCGGAAATGCAACATGTGTAGAGTAATACAGGGTAAGTAGCTTTCAGGGCTCATTTGTTTTTTACATGGAATTACTCCAATGACCAAAGCCTTATCCCAAGTTTCTCAGACGGAGTGTCTTCCGTGCAGTGCAGTCTTCCGTGCAGAGCTAGTGCAGTGCCAAGGTTTGTATCACATGGTGATGGATCGAGTGGTTTGAGGCATTAATAGAAAGTTATGTGTTGTTATATCACTTTGCCACATTATGTTGAAACTAAACATGTTCCACATTTTCAGGTGCTGTGCTTGGACCTTGTGATGAGAGACTGAAGACAGAGAGGACACATGTTGGAACCTCAACATTCAATAAATGCATTCTTCTGCCTTTCAGATTGTGTTTTTACATCTGGGGAACCTAGAGTGTAGCTTGTGCCTGTTTTAATACTGATCCAAACATAGGCGCTACAATCATGTTTTTTTACTTTGGCATGAACTGTTCAGTACAGTAGTGTTCATAACACTGGGCCCTGTGTGCTTTAACTTGTACTTTGATGTAGAGAAACATGATTTTTAATGCAGCTCCATTTGCAATAATGACTGATATCCTTCTACTACAGTTGTTCTAATGATTTTTGAATGCTGTGTTTATCGTTTATTGCCCAGAGTCAGAACTAAACATGATATAGCTGCATTTCAGATTCACAAGGCTAAAATCTGGAACGGTCTTCCTGGAAATGTGAGACAGGCTTCTTCTTTGACTATGTTAAAATCCAGGTTTAAAACACTTCTGTTTCTGCTTCAACTGAGAGATTTTATGAGAGATTTTATTTGTATCTTTTTAATTTACTGTCAATATTTATAATTGTAATGCCTTGTTTGATTGTTTATCTTTTGTTCAGTGCTTTGAGTTTCCTTTTGTTTTGACTGTGCTATACAAATAAACTTGCCTTGCCTATTGCAAAAAGTATGTCTCGACCAGTAAGTGATTCTGCAGAGGTTAAGTAGGTCAATAGGAGTGTAAATGGACGTCATATAAACGTCAATATTTTGGTCATATAAGACATCGAGAGGACGTCGGACCCGACCGGTTCTGTACCACATTGCAACCTTGAATGAAGTGGCCGCGACGTCATTTGAACGTCCAGATAACGTCCAGATGACGTTGAAATGACATAGTTCTGAAATCTGCTTGCTTAGTGGGAACAAAGGAAAACGAACGTCATATGAAGGCAATATTTTGGTCATATAAGACGTTGATAGGACGTCGGACCCAACCGGTTCTGTACCACATTGCAACCTTGAATGAACGTCCAGATGACGTTGAAATTACGTTGTTTTGACATCTGCTTGCTTAGTGGGAACGACTGAAAACGAACGTTCTATAAACGTCAATATTTTGGTCATATGAGACGTTGATAGGACGTCAGACCCGACCGGTTCTGTACCACATTCAAACCTTGAATTGACGTGCCATCAACGTAACATTTGGAGGTTGAGGTGACGTTGGGAAACAACGTCGAGAAAACTTTCATTCTGCACCCACCAGTGACCTCTATTCTACGTCGGACAACGACGTTCAAATTACGTTGATTCAACGTCGGCTTGCTTAGTGGGTATAAGGCTAGAGTTGATAACATATGTAATTAGTTATTTGTTATTTCCAGAGTAATCAGTCAGATGTGATGAGGTCACCTCTTGTCTGAGGGGTACAGCTCCACCGTCAGGACGTCCAGAGCGTTCCAGGAGGCGATGCTGATGCCTCCAAACAGACAGAGCAGAGCGATCATGGCCGACTCACTGTTCCCAAAGGACAGAAGGAAGCAGCTGAAGCAGGAGATCACACTGGAGCCCGCTGCAGGAGGAGGGGGGAGGAGGAGGAGGAGAGGAGGAGAGGGAGGGGGGGAGGGAGGAGGAGAGGGGGGAGGAGAGAGGAGGAGGAGAGGGGGGGAGGAGAGGGGGGAGGAGGGAGGAGGAGAGGGGAGGGAGGAGAGGGGGGGGGGGGGGGGGGCGAAGAGAAGAGGGGGGGGGGGGGGGGGGGAGGAGGAGAGGGGGGAGGAGAGAGGAGGAGAGGGGGAGGGGGAGAGGGGGTAGGAGGGAGGAGGAGAGAGGAGTAGAGGCAGGGGGAGGAGGGAGAAGAGAGAAGATCAAATTTAGATTCCCGTCACAAACTCACATCTATGATATATATTTTACAGTGGGGCAAAAAAGTATGTATTCAGCAGCAGCTGTTCTCCCACTGAGAAAGACAAGGCAGCCCTGGAATTTCCATCATAGATAAACCGTGAGAGACAGAATGAGAAAACAAATCCAGAAAATCACAGTTTTAAAGAATGTAAAAGTGCCACAGACTGTAGCTCCTTCTTTAAGACCAAAGTGCCACAGGCTGGGAAGACTCTGCAGTAGGTAAGCAGCCGTAGACCTGCACCAGGCTGGGAAGACTCTGCTATAGGCAAGCAGCTGTAGACCTGCACCAGGCTGGGAAGACTGACTGTGCAATAGGTAAGCAGCATGTTTAGGCATATGACAAGCGACGCATCGGATAACTCTGCCCTCCTCCTCTGCACCACTGCTACACAGCTGCTGTTGCTACAGGTGTGTCCCATTCTGTCACAGGTCTCTCCATGGTTTTCACAGATGGTGCAGAGCAGGTCAGCACCATTGACTTCACATGTTCAGTGTCCGAGTCATTCTTTCTTTAAAAATCAGACAATAGGATTTCTGGATTTTGTTTTTCTCATTCTGTCTCTCATATTTGAGGTTTATCTATTATGGAAATTACAGGGCTCCCTCGTCTTTTTAAGTGGGAGAACTTGCATAACTGGTGCTGACTAAATACTTTTTTGTCCTACTGTACATGTTTTTAGTGGTAGAGGAAACCTATGCAGACACAGGGAGAACATGCAAACTCCAGACAGGTCTGGAGGTGGAATCGAACCAGTTGTGAAGCACAAGTGCTAACCACGGCAACACTGTACCCTTGCGTACCATACCATCTACAGGTAGAAGTAGGAATTACACTTATGTCCTATTTTAAAACAGCGCAGATGTAAAAGATGTGACTTTTACGAAACAATTTTTTGTTATAAATACGTACAAAAGAAGACAAAGCTGAGTGTGACATCACAGTCTGAGAATAACAGACAAAAGGGGCAGGGAGTTTCAGGTTCTGGATGGAGCTAAACACAACTGCAGGTCTCACCTAGCATACGCAGACGGCCGACCTTGTCCATGAGCAGCGCAGACACGATGTTTCCGGGAAGAACAGCCAAAGTCCCCAAAAAGCTGACGAAGTAAACCATGTAGGCGTTGTTATCGTCGCCCACGTCGCTCAGAAGACAACCCTCTTTGTTGTGCATGAAAGTACTGTTGATGAGACGACTGCCCACGAGCCGGTACTTAAACAGGTCTGAGGAACAGAAGGAGCCATTACTACTGTCTCTGTGTACTCTCTGTATACTCTCTGTATACTCGCTGTATACTCGCTGTATACTCTCTGTATACTCTCTGTGTCCTCTCTGTGTCCTCTCTGTGTCCTCTCTGTGTCCTCTCTGTGTCCTCTCTGTGTCCTCTCTGTGTACTCTCTGTGTACTCTCTGTGTACTCTCTGTGTACTCTCTGTACTTTCTGTGTACTCTCTGTACTTTCTGTGTACTCTTTGTACTCTCTTTGTACTCTCTGTACTCTCTTTACTTTGCTCTCTGTGCTCTCTATACACGCTATACACTCTCTCTGTGGCTATAAAGACAACTGTCCACGAGCCGGTACTTAGACAGTAGGACACAGTAGGACACAGTAGGACAGTAGGACAGTAGGACACAGAAGGACACAGTAGAAGAGTAGGACACAATAGGACAGTAGGACACAGAAGGAGAGTAGAACACAGTAGAAGAGTAGGACACAGTAGGACACAGTAGGACAGAAGGACATAGAAGGACACAGTAGGTGAGTAGGACACAGAAGGACACAGTAGAAGAGTAGGACACAGAAGGACACAGTAGAAGAGTAGGACACAGTAGGACAGAAGGACACAGTAGGACACAGAAGGACAGTAGGACACAGAAGGACACAGTAGGAGAGTAGGACATAGTAGAACACAGAAGGACACAGTAGGACACAGTAGGAGAGTAGGACACAGTAGGACAGAGTAGCACCCAGTAGGACACAGAAGGACACAGTAGGACAGAAGGACACAGTAGGAGAGTAGGACTCAGTAGGACACAGAAGGACACAGTAGAACAGAGTAGGACAAAGTAGGACACAGTAGGACACAGAAGGACACAGTAGAACACAGAAGGACACAGTAGAACACAGAAGGACACAGTAGGACAGTAGAACATAGTAGGACACAGTAGAACACAGAAGGACACAGTAGAACACAGAAGGACACAGTAGGACACAGAAGGACACAGTAGGACAGAGTAGGACAGTAGGACACAGAAGGACACAGTAGGACAGAAGGACACAGTAGGACAGAGTAGGAGAGTAGGACACAGAAGGACACAGTAGAACAGAGTAGGACAGTAGAACACAGTAGGATACAGTAGGACACAGTAGAACACAGAAGGACACAGAAGGACACAGTAGAACACAGAAGGACACAGAAGGACACAGAAGGACACAGTAGAACACAGAAGGACACAGTAGGACAGTAGGACATAGTAGGACACAGTAGGACAGAGAAGGACACAGTAGGACACAGTAGGACAGAGTAGGACACAGTAGGACAGTAGGACACAGAAGGACACAGTAGGACACAGAAGGACACAGTATGACAGAGTAGGACACAGAAGGACACAGTAGGACAGTAGGACACAGAAGGACACAGTAGGACTAACCCGTGTTGTAGAACAATGTAGCGATGAAGGTGCAGTTCTTGAAGAAGCTGTTGCTCGACGTCACGTCTTCAAAGTAACATTCTTCAAAGAGAGAATCTTCAAAGACCATCGACTTCATCTTTAGGTTCACAAACCTAAGGTCAGAGGTCAAAGTTCAGAGGTCAGGGGTCAGAGGTGAGTTGATTGGATGTCAGAAGTTGGGGGGGGGGGGGGGGGTCAAGCGTCAGAGGGGTCAGAGGGGTTACAGGTCTGAGGGGGCAGGGGTTAGAGAGGTCAGGTGAGTTGATTAGATGTCAGAAGTCGGGGGGGGGGGGTTCAGAGGGGTCACAGTCAGGAGTTAGAGGTTAGGGGTCAGAGGGCGTGTCTCACTTGTCGTTGAAGTAGGCTCCCTGGCGGTGGATCTGATTCTCCAGAGTGAAGTTGAAGGTCATGTGCTCCACCTTTTCTTTGGTGAAGACTTTGGTGCGAGACGCGTAGTCCTGTTTCTGAAGGTACTTGATCATATCAGGAAACCACACGGTCAGGCCGTAGTAACTGCAGAGAGGAGCTGATTAGAGCTAACCAGAGTGTTAGAGCTAACCACACGATCAGGCCGTAGTAAGTGCAGAGAGGAGCTGATTAGAGCTAACCAGAAAGTTAGAGCTAACCACACGATCAGGCCGTAGTAACTGCAGAGAGGAGCTGATTAGAGCTAACCAAAGAGTTAGAGCTAACCACACGATCAGGCCGTAGTAACTGCAGAGAGGAGCTGATTAGAGCTAACCAGAGAGTTAGAGCTAACCACACGGTCAGGCCATAGTAACTGCAGAGAGAAGCTATTTAGAGCTAACCAGAGAGTTAGAGCTAACCACACGGTCAGGCTATAGTAACTGCAGAGAGGAGCTGTTTAGAGCTAACCCAGAGAGTTAGAGCTAACCACACGGTCAGGCCATAGTAACTGCAGAGAGCAGCTGTTTAAAGCTAACCCAGAGAGTTAGAGATAACGACACGGTCAGGCCGTAGTAACTGCAGACAGGAGCTGATTAGAGCTAACCAGAGAGAGTTAGAGCTAACCCAGAGAGAGTTAGAGCTAACCCAGGGAGAGAAGCTGTTTAGAGCTAACCCTGACCCAGGCAGAAAGAGGAGGTGGTGTAGGAGAAGCCCCAAAGGCTGAAGAAATAATGTGAATGTCCAACGCTTACCACAAAAAATGCATTATTAATTTACAAAAGACGAGATGGAACACCTGGCTTATATACAGCTGCATCACTGCACTCACAGATCGGGGTCCGTGTTAGCATCACTGCACTCACAGATCGGGGGGGTCCGTGTTAGCATCACTGCACTCACAGATCGGGGGGGTCCGTGTTAGCGTCACTGCACTCACAGATCGGGGGGATCCGTGTTAGCGTCACTGCACTCACAGATCGGGGGGGTCCGTGTTACGTCTTTTATCGTGGGAATAACACATGTTTCCAGATCAGTTTTTGAGTCCGTCCAGTTCCATTGTCTCTGTGGTTCTGGAACAGTCTCAGTGAAGTGTCGCAGATGAACAGATTCATTCAAACATTGACAGATCCACGTGAGTCGAGCCGCTTTCTTCCTCTTTGGGCCAAATACTGCGTCACATTTTTACACCTAAAACACATTTCATTCAAGTTGACGTGATCCTTACACTTTTAGTCTCTGACAAAAGCAGATAAACAGCTGCTCCATGTGGAGTCCGCGAGACCAAACCACAGACGCTGGACTCTGGAGCCGGACTCGGGAACTGGTTGCGCTCTGATTCGCTGTTTGGATCTGTCAATCACCTCTTGCCGGCTTTTACTATTATTTTGATTTCTATTATTTTTGACAACAAACAGCATACTTATTGTGTATTGTTTACCCTGCTTTGACAAAAACTATTTTAAATACAAAGCAAACGGGCTTATACATGTGCGTCATAATCGTCATCAGAGTGGGAATCGTCACTGAAGTGGACCCGAGCGTTTCACTGCCTCTCGAGGCTGAAGGAGACAGAGCGCTCTCTAACTAAAGATTGACAGAATCAATGAATAAACTACTCTGAGCAAACAGTGTGTGTAAGGCCAAATAGCTGTAATCCTGTTTAAAGCAGAGAAAAGTCAAAAAGTGTAATATGGGCCCTTTAACTATTTAGTTAGCGTTGGATTTGATTTGAGCTTTGGTCCTGTTCTACAGGCCAAGTTTTGACCCAGATGAAGCTGAAGGACCAGGCCTAGAGCCTACAGAGCCATTGGATCTTGAGTCGCATTTTCACAGCTCCTCTGCGGGCCACTAGGGGGCTCCTTGCAGCCCACAAACTCTCTCTCCACTTTGCACAAACCTTTTTCCCTCTCACTCATCCACATCTCACAAAGTGGGTGAGTGGGTGAAGAATGAACCGTGCAGGACTGGGATGATCTAAAACACGTTTATTACTCATTACTTACTGTGTTTAGCTAATCATTTGTTTCTACCAGTGGGGGAGGGTCACAGCTCAAAAGTGGCCAAAATGACGTGTGCTGACATGCTGCAATACCACCCCGGGCCGATGGGGGTGGACCCAGAAGAAGAATTAGCCAATGCTAACATATAGCATTGGCAGACCTCTCAAAAACGTCTTTACAGGATGGACCAAAAGTTGGCTCTTGGCCCAAAGCTCCGTTCCACATGTGTGTCAATGCTGAGGGGGGTAGATTTTTTTGGTCCACTCTAGTTTACTTGCTGTGAATTTTTTAAGTCTCTCGTTCAAATGAATGGAGCTGCGCCGACTGACGCATGCGCAGATGCGTTTTTTCACAATTTTCTTGTGGGCGGGACCACTCGCGGCCATTTTGGATTGCTCCAGTAGAGCACATTTTTTGGCCCATTAGTTAGAACGGCGGAGATAGGCGTGACTCTGTCCGTTAATATATACAGTCTATGGTTTCTACTTAGCATAAATGTTATCTTATCACATCACATTCGTCACATTAAACTCAGATCGTTTCAATCCTCAAAAGGAGTTAACAGGTGGGAGGGGTTAACGGGGCCAATGGAGCAAATTAATACCATGGTATGGAAAGACCAGGCTACGATGGTATGGTAAGACCAGGCTACGATGGTATGGTAAGACCAGGCTACGATGGTATGGTAAGACCAGGCTACGATGGTATGGTAAGACCAGGCTATGATGGTATGGTAAGACCAGGCTATGATGGTATGGTAAGACCAGGCTATGATGGTATGGTAAGACCAGGCTATGATGGTATGGTAAGACCAGGCTACAGCTGAACCGAAGCCACAGAGTTAACTCAGTAGCAACTGATGTAATTAACTTTGAAACCACCAGATGAGACTTGGCTTTTATACCACAGACTCAGAGTGATGTCACACTGCACAAAGTGATGTCACACTGTACTCCAGAGCCACAACGAACACACTATGTCCACATGAACGATACACACTAGAGTTAGAGTTAGAGGCAGAGTTAGAGTGAGGATTAGAGAGAGTTATAGTTAGAGTTAGAGTAAGTGTTATCACCTGAAGGACATGGAGAACCAGACGGCCATCATCATGTATGTGGTGCGACGATACTGCGGCGAGAACACGGCCAGGAAGTTCTCCCACACCTGGAACACAGCAGGGTCAGCTCTAATCCTCCAGAGTCAGCTCTAATCCTCCAGAGTCAGGGTTAGGCTCAAGCTCTAACTCTAACCCTGCCTTCGTCCTTCACATGTTGCTGCTGGGTCTCAGCTGGTCTGCGTCTGGGTCAGGGTCTGGGTCTCAGCTGGTCTGGGTCTCGTCTGGGTCTCAGCTGGTCTGGGTCTCGGTCTGGTCTGGGTCTGGGTCTCTGCCGGTCTGGGTCTCTGCCGGTCTGGGTCTCTGCCGGTCTGGGTCTCTGCCGGTCTGGGTCTCTGCCGGTCTGGGTCTCTGCCGGTCTGGGTCTCTGCCGGTCTAGGTCTCTGCCGGTCTGGGTCTCTGCCGGTCTGGGTCTCAGGTCTGGGTCTCAGGTCTGGGTCTCAGGTCTGGGTCTCAGGTCTGGGTCTCAGGTCTGGGTCTCTGCTGGTCTGGGTCTCGGACTGGGTCTCAGCTGGTCTGCGTCTGGGTCTGGGTCTCAGCTGGTCTGCGTCTGGGTCTGGGTCTGGGTCTCAGTACCTGATGGAAGAGGGCTGTGAGTTTGAGCCTCCACTTGTCGTACCATGGAGCTCCGTCCCCGATGTTCACAAACTCGTCCCTCGGCTTCACGGTCTTTATGGTGGTCACCTGAAACACATGTATGACATTTATCACATGTCTGACATTTATCAACATGTATGACATTTATCACATGTATGACATTTATCACATGTGTGACATTTATCACATGTATGACATTTATCACATGTCTGACATTTATCACATGTCTGACATTTATCACATGTGTGACATTTATCAACATGTATGACATTTATCACATGTATGACATTTATCACATGTATGACATTTATCACATGTGTGGCATTTATCACATGTATGACATTTATCAACATGTATGACATTTATCACATGTATGACATTTATCAACATATATGACATTTATCAACATGTATGACATTTATCACATGTGTGACATTTATCACATATCTGACATTTATCACATGTGTGACATTTATCACATGTGTGACATTTATCACATGTATGACATTTATCAACATGTATGACATTTATCAACATGTATGACATTTATCAACATGTATGACATTTATCAACATGTATGACATTTATCAACATGTATGACATTTATCAACATGTATGACATTTATCAACATGTATGACATTAATCACATGTATGAAATTTATCACATGTATGACATTTATCACATGTATGACATTTATCAACATGTATGACATTTATCAACATGTGTGACATTTATCACATGTATGACATTTATCAAAATGTGTGACATGTATCACATGTATGACATTTATCAACATGTATGACATTTATCACATGTATGACATTTATCAACATGTGTGACATTTATCAACATGTATGACATTTATCACATGTATGACATTTATCAACATGTATGACATTTATCAACATGTATGACATTTATCAACACGTGTGACATTTATCAACATGTATGACATTTATCAACATGTATGACATTTATCAACATGTGTGACATTTATCAACATGTATGACATTTATCAACATGTGTGACATTTATCAACATGTATGACATTTATCAACATTTATGGCATTTATCAACATGTGTGACATTTATCAACATGTATGACATTTATCAACATGTGACATTTATCAACATGTGTGACATTTATCAACATGTATGACATTTATCAACATGTGTGACATTTATCAACATTAATGACATTTATCAACATGTGTGACATTTATCAACATGTATGACATTTATCACATGTATGACATTTATCAAAATGTGTGACATTTATCACATGTATGACATTTATCAACATGTATGACATTTATCAACATTTATCAACATGTGTGACATTTATCACATGTATGACATTTATCAACATGTATGACATTTATCACATGTATGACATTTATCAACATGTGACATTTATCAACATGTGTGACATTTATCACATGTATGACATTTATCAAAATGTGTGACATTTATCACATGTATGACATTTATCAACATGTATGACATTTATCAACATGTATGACATTTATCAACATGTGTGACATTTATCAACATGTGTGACATTTATCAACATGTGTGACATTTATCAACATGTATGACATTTATCAACATGTATGACATTTATCAACATGTGTGACACTTATCAACATGTATGACACTTATCAACATGTATGACACTTATCAACATGTATGACATTTATCAACATGTGTGACATTTATCAACATGTGTGACATTTATCTCATGTGTGACATTTATCAACATGTATGACATTTATCAACATTTATGGCATTTATCAACATGTGTGACATTTATCAACATGTATGACATTTATCAACATGTGTGACATTTATCAACATGTGTGACATTTATCAACATGTATGACATTTATCAACATGTATGACATTTATCAACATGTGTGACATTTATCAACATGTATGACATTTATCAACATGTGTGACATTTATCAACATGTATGACATTTATCACATGTATGACATTTATCAAAATGTGTGACATTTATCACATGTATGACATTTATCAACATGTATGACATTTATCAACATGTGTGACATTTATCAACATGTATGACATTTATCAACATGTGTGACATTTATTAACATGTATGACATTTATTAACATGTATGACATTTATTACATGTATGACATTTATCACATGTGTGACATTTATCAACATGTATGACATTTATCAACATGTGTGACATTTATCACATGTGTGACATTTATCAACATGTATGACATTTATCACATGTATGACATTTATCACATGTGTGACATTTATCACATGTGTGACATTTATCAACATGTATGACATTTATCAACATGTATGACATTTATCAACATGTGTGACATTTATCACATGTGTGACATTTATCAACATGTATGACATTTATCAACATGTATGACATTTATCAACATGTGTGACACTTATCAACATGTATGACACTTATCAACATGTATGACATTTATCAACATGTGTGACATTTATCAACATGTGTGACATTTATCTCATGTGTGACATTTATCAACATGTATGACATTTATCAACATGTATAACATTTATCACATGTATGACATTTATCAACATGTGTGACATTTATCACATATATGACATTTATCACATGTGTGACATTTATCACATGTATTACATTTATCACATGTATGACATTTATCAACATGTATGACATTTATCAACAGTCTGGGTCTGGGTCTATGTTAGAGTTAGAGTCTGGGTCTGGTTCTGAGACTGGGTCTGGGACTCACAGAGAAGACTCGCTCTGGATAACCTTTCGCTCTCATGTTGGTGTCGTGGACCTGCTTCAGGATCATCCAGGCCTCGTCATGTTTCCCATTCTGTAACAACAGGAAGTGTTAGGGAACCATACCCTATACTCTCTACCCTCTACCCTGTACCCTTTATCCTGTATCCTCTACCCTATACTCTCTACCCTCTACCCTCTACTCTCTACCCTGTACCCTCTACCTTGTACACTATATCCTGTACCCTGTCTCCTGTACCCTGTAGCCCGTAACTTGTACCCTGAATCCTATCTCCTGTACCCCGTACCATGTCTCCTGTGCCCTCTCTCCTGTGTCCTGTATCCTGTACCCTGTATTCCATACCCTGTATCCTGTACTCTGTACTCTGTATCCTGTACTCAATACTCTGTACCCTGTATCCTGTACTCTGTATCATGTACTCTGTACCCTGTACCCTGTACCCTGTGTATCGGGCTGACCTCCAGGTAGAAGCGGGGGCTCTCTGGCATGGTGGTCAGGGCAGAGATGGCAGCGACAGCTGGAAAAGCACAGACCAGAACAAACACCCTCCAGCTGTGGAACTGGTACGCAGACCCCATCTGGAAGCTCCAGCCTGCAACAGAAAGGGGCCGGTAAGCTACTAGTGAGCTACTGATGTAAGCTCCAGCGTGCAACAGAGAGAGAGACCTGTGAGCTACTAGTGAGCCATTGATGTAAACTCCAGCCTGCAACAGAGAGAGAGAGAGACCGGTGAGCAACCACCGCCAACCTAGCCTGGCCTTATCAATCCGTATATTCCGCTCAATCATCATTTCCTGCATGTAACGTCTGGGTCTGGTCCCTGGGTTAGCGAAAACAATCGGTTGAATTTTGACCGACCGACCGAGCGCGGAAGGCAGGTGTTCTAGTTAGATGTGGGTGATGTCAAGAGTTTGTACCGAACGGGCAGGTTGTTGTTTGACAATGGCGAAAAATGCGATAGTAAAGTATTCTGGTCTGGTTCTTTCAAGAAATTGAAGCCAGAGCCATAGGAATGTTTAGCAAATGTAATCGCTAGAATAAATTGTGGCGCTACTCCCCACGAGCTCTGTTAGCGGCAAAGGAGATGGCTAGGCTAAATGCTAAATGCTAATGACTCACTCGGGCTCATTACATACGTCACAGTAAACTCAGATCCAATCGTTTCAATCTGCAAAAGGAGTTAACCACTCCCACCTGTTAACGGAGTCAATGGAGCAAATCCAGACCTTAGTACGAAATGCCATTTGTACTATGGTGTGGTACGACCAGGCTACCGCAAACCCAACCCTTAGGGATCAATAAAGTTTCTAAAGAAAGAAACTGGAAGTGGACACTAGGACCATGAGGGGGTGTGAAACAGGTGCCTCACCATAATGACGGATGACGGCCTACAGGTGCCTCACCACAATGAGGGATGACTGCCTACAGGTGCCTTACCATAATGAGGGATGACGGTCTACAGGTGCCTCACCATAATGAGGGATGATGGCGGCCTACAGGTGCCTCACCATAATGAGGGATGATGGCGGCCTACAGGTGCCTCACCATAATGAGGGATGACGGCCTACAGGTGCCTCACCATAATGAGGGATGATGGCGGCCTACAGGTGCCTCACCATAATGAGGGATGACGGCCTACACATGCCTCACCATAATGAGGGATGATGGCGGCCTTCACATGCCTCACCATAATGAGGGATGACGGCCTACACATGCCTCACCATAATGATGGATGACGGCCTACACATGCCTCACCATAATGAGGGATGACGGCGGCCTACAGGTGCCTCACCATAATGATGGATGATGGCCTACACATGCCTCACCATAATGAGGGATGACGGCCTACAGGTGCCTCACCATAATGAGGGATGACGGCCTACAGGTGCCTCACCATAATGAGGGATGATGGCGGCCTACAGGTGCCTCACCATAATGATGGATGACGGTCTACAGGTGCTTCACCATAATGAGGGATGACGGCCTACACATGCCTCACCATAATGAGGGATGACGGCCTACACATGCCTCACCATAATGAGGGATGATGGCAGCCTACACATGCCTCACCATAATGAGGGATGACGGCCTACACATGCCTCACCATAATGATGGATGACGGCCTACACATTCCTCACCATAATGAGGGATGACGGCGGCCTACAGGTGCCTCACCATAATGATGGATGACGGCCTACAGGTGCCTCACCATAATGATGGATGACGGCCTACACATGCCTCACCATAATGAGGGATGACGGCCTACACATGCCTCACCATAATGAGGGATGATGGCAGCCTACACATGCCTCACCATAATGAGGGATGACGGCCTACACATGCCTCACCATAATGATGGATGACGGCCTACACATTCCTCACCATAATGAGGGATGACGGCGGCCTACAGGTGCCTCACCATAATGATGGATGACGGCCTACAGGTGCCTCACCATAATGATGGATGACGGCCTACACATGCCTCACCATAATGAGGGATGACGGCCTACACATGCCTCACCATAATGAGGGATGACGGCCTACACATGCCTCACCATAATGAGGGATGACGGCCTACACATGCCTCACCATAATGATGGGTGACGGCCTACACATGCCTCACCCTAATGAGGGATGACGTCCTACACATGCCTCACCCTAATGAGGGATGACGTCCTAGAGGTGCCTCACCATAAAGAGGGATGATGGCGGCCTACAGGTGCCTCACCATAATGAGGGATGACGGCCTACACATGCCTCACCATAATGATGGATGATGGCGGCCTACAGGTGCCTCACCATAATGAGGGATGATGGCCTACACATGCCTCACCATAATGAGGGATGATGGCCTACAGGTGCCTCACCATAATGAGGGATGACGGCCTACAGGTGCCTCACCATAATGAGGGATGACGGCCTACAGGTGCCTCACCATAATGAGGGATGATGGCCTACACATGCCTCACCATAATGAGGGATGACGGCCTACAGGTGCCTCACCATAATGAGGGATGACGGCCTACAGGTGCCTCACCATAATGAGGGATGATGGCCCAGGCCATGGCTGAGGCGTAGATTCCTCCGATCATCCAGAACATGCAGAGCCAGCTCAGATGTTCTCCTCGTTTTTCCTGCGCCAAGAACTCAGAGTAGTACGAGAAGACGATGGGGATGGACCCTCCAATCCTGAGGGCAGAGATCAGGGGTCAAGGGTCAGAGGACAGAGGAGAGGGGTCAGAGGGCAGAGGTCGGAAGGTGTGTCTGTGTGTGTGTGAGTGTGTGTGTCGCTCTCTCTGTGTGTGTCTGTCTGTGTGTGTGTCTGTGTCTGTGTGTCCGTGTGAGTGTGTGTCTGTGTGTGTCTCTCTCTGTGTGTGTCTCACCCCACTCCTGACAGAAGGCGACACAACAGGAAGGAGCTGTATCCTTGAACGAACGATGAGAAAAAAGCGAAAACGCTGTTGATGGAGAGAGAGATGAGCAGCGTCTGACGGCGGCCGATCCTGTCCGCCAGCCCCCCCCACAGGAAGGCCCCCACCATCATCCCCAGGTACACAATCAGGCCTACAGTAACACAATCAGACACACAATCAGAGACACACACAGGAAGGCCCCCACCATCATCCCCAGGTACACAATCAGGCCTACAGTAACACAATCAGACGCACAATCAGAGACACACACAGGAAGGCCCCCACCATCATCCCCAGGTACACAATCAGGCCTACAGTAACACAATCAGACACACAATCAGAGACACACACAGGAAGGCCCCCACCATCATCCCCAGGTACACAATCAGGCCTACAGTAACACAATCAGACACACAATAAGAGACACACACAGGAAGGCCTCCACTAACATCCCCAGTTACACACAGAGACACACACATAGACACACACAAACACACACACACACAGACACACACATACACACACACATACACGTTTTTGTTACCTGGTGGGTCCCTTTGACAGGGCCGTTCAGAATGGGACCCATAGACATAATCTTTTTTTACTGGGACTACTTTAAGTAATACAAAACAGTCAATAGAAACCAAACAACTATTTTAAAGGAATTTTATTTTAGATTTTGTTTTCGAATTGCAGTGATTCTATTTTTGACATAGAATTTAATGCCACTCCATGTCCGATGTCTAAGGTCATCTGGTGAGGCATTAATGCAGGCCAGGCAGTGAGACTTCCCAGGGACCTTTCCAGTCTGTATGAAAGGTGTCATGGTCTTCTCCACAGCCTTCACCTCAGATGCAGACCATGGCTTTCTTACACGTTCTAGGGAGAGAAATAAAAATATATTAGCAATATACACTCCCAGGGTTAGGACCAAGCAGCCTGGCTGTAATCCCCCACCTGGTACACTTACCAGAAGGGGCACTGCCACTACCATGGGGTGCATCTGGATGAATGGTTGAAGGTTCTCCGCTTGAAGTTTCTTTTAGCCCGTCCGTTTGTGAGAGGATCTCTACTGCTCTCCCTGTCGCACAGAAAATAAAAATAAGTGGCCTTTAGGGGAAAAAAATCATACATATTTTAATAATATCAAGAATTACCTTCAGGCTCAATTTGTATCTGGTCGAGGCTCTTTCCTTCGAATTCCGTCACTCTTCCCTGCTCCATGGCCATCAACACTTTGCTGATTTTGGCCAGCTCCAGTGTCCCCTCTGGTAGTCTGTAATATTGCCTGTGGATGCGAATGTCATGGCCGAGGAAGTTGGCAAGTATGTCCATCTCATTCTCTTTCATATTGAGAACTGTAGACATAGTAGCTATGTGCTTTCTAAGTTTGGTTGAGGATAGCATCTCTGGATGCACCGCACCACATTCTTTGGCTACCTGGCGTAGGGAGTCTGATCCCCTGATGTGGGTGTCTGCGCCCGGGCGGGAAAAGAAGTATGGGTTATGGTCAGAGATGGAACAGGCCCTTCTGTTCTCCACCAGCACCTCCATCGAAGCAATCATTTCAGGAGTCAAAAGAACCGGCACTTTCCGACTTCTTTTCCCTTTAATTTCAATGCGTTGAAAATGCTGACACAGCTTTTTCTCAAGTTGGGACAGTCCCAGAGCAATGTCAGAATGGATCCCAGTCTTACTTCTTAAGGTAAAGGCTGTCAGTGGCATCTTTGAAACCTCACCTTCCCTTCTTCGATTGAAAATGATGACCTCACAAAGAGTCAAAACTGCCAGTTTAGACCAATGCTTAGACGTTGGCTCACTTATTAGGGTTTGCACATATTCAGGTCGACATACCTCAATATGTGCATGCATGGCTCTAACGTCCTCAGTCAGAGGGAGCAGGTCCGGAGTGTTCCACTTGGCTTGCCGGAGGGTCTGTAGGGCAGCAGAAGAAACACAGACTTCCCACCTCTTCTCAAAAAGCAGCCGGCTTCGTTGGAGGTTTTTAATAAATAGTTCATCAACACAATGCTCCATTTTTGAGTCACATTCAAGAATATCTGCTAGCTTTCTGAGGCTATGGCCGAGTTTGAGGGCCAAGGATGGAGTCTTGTATTGATTTGTTTCCTCATCATATCCAGCCACAGACCTGACTGCATCAATCACATGGTTAAAGTTGGAAGGAATAAAGAAATCCTTAATTGTTTTCAGTTTCCCTGCGGTTTTTGCTTCGTTAATTAACCTACCGACTTCTCTCATTTTCTGCCTAATGTAATCATGCTTAGTCTTATCATGCCCGTGTTTTAAGTACAGGTGCTCTCCGAGTCTCAGAATCCCCTTTTCTGCTTTGACAACACCCGTGACCTCATCCTGATGCATTGCCGAAATTAAAGACCACAGCTTTTTGCTGATGCCCTCCGGTACAGGCTGGGCTAGGGAGCAGAGGGACTGGACCCTACTTCTACCTGGTTTAGCCTGGGCATCTTTCTGTGAAAGCCGGCACCTGGCCACATGCCTCCACAGCGACTTTCGCTTAAGCAATGCCCCACAGTCTATACAGTGCAAAAACTCACTGGATTTAACTGGGGAATTTGGCTGTTTAGCTGGGACTAAAGTTCCAATGCCGGCCTTTAAAACCTCAAAATTGTGCTCACGGTTTCCACTATTCCTGATCAAATCAAACTGAAGTTTACGTGCTTTAGATTTCACAGGTAGAGCCAATGCTCTGGCTACGTCACTTTCATTTCCATGTTTTCTAGTCAAATGACGGGACATTTTGTGGCAGGACATTGAACAGTAGAGGCAGAAGTGTCTCTTGCTGTAAACTCGCCCCCCATTTTTCTTCTTTTGCAGCTGCATGATAACAATCTTATTTGCCTTTGGTTCGTCACTTTCCAAGTCTTGAAGAAAAGTGTTTTTGATTTTTCTTTTTCCATACTTTTTTACAGGTTTCTTCTTGACAGTTAAATCGTCAGAATCTGAGTCGACTTCATCAATTAGGGACTCTTGACTAAGCTGCACAAACAACAAATAATTTGTAATCATTCTATATAACAATTTGAAGTCATGACTTGTAGTCAGCACTTACCAGTGGTTTGTAAGCGTGCGCTTCAGTGTGCTCCTCCATGATTTCTTGCAGCCTAATGAACCACACACTTGCACCTTTTTCTAGCCTGACACCTGATTTCCTCTGTTGTGCTGCTCCATGATTGGCTCCAGCCTGCTGGACTGAAATTGCCCCAGTGTGCCCCTCCTTGATATCCCGCAACCCACCACCAGGGTTCCGACACATAACACACTTTTTTCAGGAAAGTAAACCTCCAGGGGTCCTTTCCATATTTTTACAGAGACTGCATAAGGACCGTTAGAAAAGCATTACCCATTGATTATTAAGCTTGGACCAGTGGGGTCCGGTGTTCGGGCCCCACCACGTAAAACCAGTCCCCATGACGTGAGTGGAATCTCAGGTTATGGAACCCACCAGGAGTTGAAAACAAGTGCAGAGAGTCACACACACACACACACACACACACACACACACATAGACACACACACTTACCCAGCATGCCCTTGTTGGGCTCAGACAGACACATATCTTTCTCTGCGAATGGAAGAACGAATCCGACCACGAAGATCTCGACGCCGTCCGCCATTAGAGCGAGGCCCAGACAGAAGTACAGACTCCACTGGAAGCGGCCGTGGCCACACTCCTGCAGGATGGTCTCGTATTGTTCCGCCAGCTCCTCCTGGTCCTTCCTCCTCTCTCCTTCTGCTACAGCCAGGTCCCTGTAGGTCTCAGGCTCCGGAGCAGGACCTTTACCCGGGGCTCGGGGGATGCCCTGGTACTCCCCCTCGTAGATCTCCTCCTCTTCATCGTGGCCCTCAGTGGAGTCGCTGTGCGCCTCCTCGTCAGCGCCGCTGTCATTACGGTAGTAGCCTGCGTCTCCTCTCTCACCATAGTCTTCGTCATCGTCCTCTTCCTCAAAGCGTTTGTAAGAGCGGCGGCTGTACTCGTCTGCCACACGGTCCACGCCGCGCCCCACCTTCTTCCCCACCTGCTTCTTCGCCACTTTAGCGATGTCCTTAGCTCCACGCAGGAAGTCAGACCGACCGTCTCTGTACCTGTCGTCCTCCATGTCGGTCTGAGAGGACTGGGTTCGGTCTCAGAGGTCTGGGTTTGGTTCAGGGTCCGGGTCTGGGTCCAGTTAGGTTTAGGGTTCAGGAGAAGGCCAGGTTCTCAAGGCTCCAGAATCTGAGGTTCTGCACAGAACAAAAGAGACAGTCGTTAAGGCTCACAGAGCAATTCTGTCAAACAATTACTACATGTTAGTGTTAGCCTTAACTAGCGTTAACGCTAGCATTAGCCTTAACACTAGGGTTAGCCTTAACACTAGCGTTAGCCTAAACACTAGCGTTAGCCTAAACACTAGCGTTAGCCTTAACACTAGCGTTAGCCTTAACACTAGCGTTAGCCTTAACACTAGCATTAGCCTAAACACTAGCGTTAGCCTTAACACTAGCATTAGCCTAAGACTAGCGTTAGCCTTAACACTAGTATTAGCCTTAACACTAGCGTTAGCCTTAACACTAGCGTTAGCCTTAACACTAGCGTTAGCCTTAACACTAGCGTTAGCCTTAACACTGTGGCCGGGTGTCTAAGTGAGAAAAACTCATAAATAAAAATATTAATTTGCATAAGAGCAACAAAAGGTCCTGTCTCCTCTTCACCCAAGCCCCGGTGATCCAAGATGGCGTCCTGTTCAAATGAACGGCTTGTGCTCAGTAGTTCTTGGGACTTCACGGGCGCTGACATATCAGAGGAGCTCGGCTATATTTGGGCATCATCTGGTCCTCCCGGTTCTGTGCAGTGGACGAGCTCCCATGATGCATTGCGCCAAATACGCGTGTGTGGCTCTCATGCACGTGCACAGAGGGGCTCGGCCGGGCTCTGACCAATCAGAGTTGCTGATCAGAACAGTGGTAGAGCGGAGCCAGAGCGGGAAGGAAAGGAGCAGAGTTTGTGGCAGTAAAGTGTAGATTTAAAGAAAACCGAAGGATTTAAGAAAAAAAAAAAGGTCTGGATGACAAGGGACACTAAAATCCCCACAAAATCCGATCTTTATAAAAGCTGTAGGTTCTCTGTCAGGTTCTCTGTCAGCTGAGGTCGAACTTTTTTCTGGGTAGCTCACGTGAATTTAATCTGCAGTACCACAGCGCCCCCTGTGCCCGTGGGTGGGACAGCTATAAGCTAGCAGAGGTGTGGACTCGAGTCATGTGACTTGGACTCGAGTCATGATTTTGATGACTTTAGACTCGACTTGACCAAATATAAAAAGACTTGCAACTCGACTTGGACTTTAACATCAATGACTCTGACTTTCACTTGGACTTGCGCCAATTGACTTGTAAAGACTTGTGTAACCCGGGCCATTTTTACCTTTCTCCGCATCTCTCTTTCTATCTATGCCGTCTCTGAAGAAACAAAGCCTCGCGGTAGTTGTAGCGCTCGCGAGAGAGTTCGAACGTGAGTTCCCCGCAGTTCGCGCAGCAACACTTCCCTAAACAAGCGCACTGCATTCACCGGTGGGTGTGTTGTCGTAGGGGAGCTGGAAATGAGCGAGCTGCAGGTATTTATCGCGACCTAACGTCATATTTTGTTCTACAAGCCGTAATTAATATGCTTTCACTACAGGCGCCTCATACAATTGAATCGACGCAGTTGTCACACTGTGTGCCGTGTTTTAAAGAGGAACTGGTGAGTCAAACTAGCGCTAGCCTGCGCTGCTCTGTTGGCTCTTTCTTATATTTTTCTGTGTGGGTGCCGAGCCCTATTATTATGAGTATGTTTTTGCTGTGCTCCTCCTGCTAAAGTTTGCATACATTTGATAGTTGTTTAGATTATGTGCACTAAGCTGGATTAATATTTGCACTATTGTTTATGGTGCATTGATATGAGAATCAGTGCTTTGACTGATTGAATTAATTTATATGAGACATTTTATTATGTAATGATATATTGGTAATTATGAGATATGCAGCCCGCGGAAATTCAATTTGGTAGACGTCAGCCAAAGTCACCCCCTCCAGGCCGGTTCACATCCCCAGCTATCGCACAGCAAACGCCCCCTTCCAATCACCGTACCGGCCAGGCAGCCGCTTAAAAGCGGAGAAACTCCCACTCTCTGCCTTCTCGAAGCCTTGCATGAATCGTTCTGGAGGAATCGCTTTGTCTACTCACGCTTACTCCTGCGGTCCCTGCTGTCCTCTGTCTTGCTGCGTGTGGTCTGCTCCTCCTCCGCGTCGCTGCACCTGCTGCGGGTCTCGTGCTGTGGTCCGTGGGTCTTTGCCGCTCTCCTCCTTTGCGGCTCTTTCTGCGGGTTCGCCGCTGCTCGTCTCGTCGCGGCCTGCTGCTGCATACGGCCGGTCTGGACCGGTGCGGTGGGAGCCGTGCGCATCCCTGCCTCCTCGTGTGGTACGGCGTGGTCCCGTTGTGTTGTCCCTTGTCTTCTGGCGTTGTGGGTAAGTATGAGATCTGCGGACGGTTTTTTCCCCTCGCATTGTACTGCAGGCTCAGTTGGCCCCGCGCTTTGTACTGCAGGCTCAGTTGGCCCCGTGCATTGGTGGGCAAGCTTCAGTTTAAAGCCCTCGCATTGGTCTGCAGGCTCTCTTTAACCAAGCTCCGTTTAAATCCTTCACTCTGACTGCAAGCTCCGTTATTCCTCACATTGGACTGCAAGATCTCAGTTTAATCCCTCACATTGGACTGCGTGCTCTCAGTTTTAATCCCTCACTTTGGCCTGCAGGCTCTCTTTAAATCCCTCTCTGGACTACGAGCTCTGTTTAAATCCCTCTCTTTGGACTGCGAGCTCTCAGGTTAATCCCTCACGGAACTGCTATATCTGGAACTGCTTATATCTGGAACTGTTATACCGTACCTGGAACTGCTTCATACGGAACTGCTTATATATGGAACTGCTATATATGGAACTGCTATATATGGAACTGCTATATATGGAACTGCTATATATGGAACTGCTTTTATATGGAACTGCTTTTATATGGAACGGCTTATATACGGAACTGCTTATATATGGAACTGCTCATATTGGAACTGCATATATGGTACTGCTTATATCCGGAACGCTTATATGTAAAAATAAATAAATATAAATAGATATAAATAGATATAAATAGATATAAATAAATATAAATAAATATAAATAAATATAAATGAAAATAAAAAACTGCAGGCTCTGTTGGATCCCGCACACTGGACTGTAAGCTTTCAGTTTAAACTCCTCACTTGGACTGCGGGCTCAGTTAATCCCTCACTCGGACCGTAAAACCTGTTTAAATCCCTCACACTGGACTGCAGCTCTCGGTTTAATCCCTCACTTGGACTACAAGCTCTCAGTTATAAATCCCTCTTTTAGGACTGCGGGCAATGTTGAATCCCTCACTCTGGACTACAAGCTCTCAGTTTAATCCCTCACCTCGGACTACAGGTCGTTTAACTCCCTCACACCGGACTGCAGGTTCTCCGTTAGACGCCTCACTCGGACTGCGGGCTCAGTTTTAATACCTCACTTTGGACTGCAAGCTCTATTAAATCCCTCACATTAGACTGCAAGCTCTGTTTAGGTCCCTCGGCGTCTCGTGTCCCGCAACCTCTTCCCGGCTCTCCGTGAGCCCCAAGTCAGCACGCGGCTCGGGCGCGGGAGGTGTCCGTGGGCTACGTCATTGGCCCCTTCTCTCCGTCTCGCTCTAACCCGATGGGCATCGCCACCCGCAAGCACTCCAGGAAAAAGCGTCTCATACTTGTCCTCTCCTGTCCCCGCTCCGGGCCCGCCCGAGCATCAACAGCCCCTTCCCTCCAGCGCCCTTCTCCCAGCAGTCCGCTACCGTGGACCACGCGATCAGGCTGATAAAGACTTTCGGCCCCGGCTCCTGGCTCTCCAAGGCCGTCATCCCGGACGCGTTCAAGCTGCTGCCTTCCACCCCGACCACTGGCGCTGTTCAGGGGTCAAGTGGCGTCGGAGTTCTTCTTCGCACTGCGCCTCACCTCTGACTGCCGGAGTAGTCCTTCTCGTTCAACAATCTCTCGGAGGCGCCGTGTCGGTTTCTGCTTAATTACGCGCGGCTCCCCTCTGTCCCGCATCTCCCCGATGATTCCCTCGTAGTCAACCCACCCCCAGGCTGCTCCGGGGGCTCTCTCCGCAAGCTCAGGCCCGCCTTCTCTGCCCTCGGATTCCTTCACTCCGGAACGACCACAGGCCCCGCCATTGCTCCGGAGTTTCTCGGCATCCGCCTCGACACACGCGCCATGGAGGCCTCCCTCCCGCCGGACAAGCTCGAACGCATCCGCGCTTTCTCCCGGTCTGCCTTGGCCTTCCCGTCACTTCGAGGCGTCCTTGCTCTCCCTCCTCGGGCATCTTAATTATGCCGTCCGTATCATTCCCCAAGGTCGTTCTTTTAATTCCAGACTCCTCTCCCTCGCTGGCTCCGTCTCCTCCCTCAATGACGCTGTCTGCCCGGACGCGGGGCGCCGCTCCGACCTGGCGTTCCGGTCCCGTCTGCAGAGCCGCTGGGATGGTGTATCTCTTCTTTTACAGTGACGTCATCCTGTCTCAGATGCCCCGCGGTTCTTCACGGACGCAGCCCCGTCCGAGGGTTTTGGGGGTTTTTCCAGGACCAGTGGTTCGCCGGGCCGGGGCATCTCCTCCGCGCTCCACGAGATATATCCCGGACCGTAGCCTGCGTGCTGCGGAACCGTACGTGGCATAGGAAAAAGATTTCCGTGACGTGCGACAACCTCGACGTCACTGAAATAATTAACAGAAGTCGTTCATCCTCTCCCCAAATCACACCCTCCTTAGACGCATCACATGGCTCTCAGTCCTGAACAATTTATCATCACTGCTCGTCACGTCCCTCGTCACCTAACTGTCTTGCTGACTCTCTCTCTTGCTTTAAATTCCAGGAGTTCTGACGCCTTTGCCCTTCTGCCAATTCATCGCCATGCCAGATCCCCTGCACGGAATCCCTCGCCCTGGTCTAGTCCCTCCGTCTCTTCACCTTCTCTCCTTCGCTGCATCCTACATGAAAATGGGCTTCTTACGCATAAGCGAATTCACTAACCCCCACGCCACCTTCAATGCAGCCCAAGACATTGCCTTCTCCGACCTGTCTTATTATCCCGACTACTTCAACCTCCACCTCAAGCATTCCAAACGCAAAGGCGCTTGTAATATAGTCATAGCTCGGTCTGACACTTCTCCCTCTCCCTATAGATCCATGACGCATTACATTCGCCTCCGCTCTCGGAAAGGAGATCTCAACGGACCGTTATTTCTTACCCCCGATAACCTCCCGATGTCCTCCAACTGGTTCAGAGCCCAAACTCAAGTCCGTACTGCTGCTTTGTAACCTGTCTCCCCATCTCTACACAGCCCACTCCTTCCGGATAGGCGCCGCCACGCGCGCCGCGTCCCTGGGGCTCCCCCATTCCGCCCTCCAGCAGCTGGGCCGCTGGTCATCATCGGCCCTCTCCTCATACATCAGGCCTGACACTTCGACCATTCTGGCAGCCCAGCGGCTTCTGGCATCTCCATAAAACACTCGCTAAACTTCCTGGTGGCGGCAGCAGCTGAGTATCCGCAAGTGATGGTCACAGTAGATAGCGGTCACAGTATATAGTGATAGCGGTCACAGTATATAGCGATAGCGGTCACAGTATATAGCGATAGCGGTCACAGTATATAGCGATAGCGGTCACAGTATATAGCGATAGCGGTCACAGTATATAGCAAAAAATGGTTAGCGCATGATGGTCATCAGCATATAGCGATAGCGGTCACAGTATATAGCGATAGCGGTCACAGTATATAGCGATAGCGGTCACAGTATATAGCGATAGCGGTCACAGTATATAGCGATAGCGGTCACAGCATAGCGATAGCGGTCACAGCATAGAGATAGCGTTCACAGCATAGAGCAGTCTCGTCGTTCTGTCCCCTCCAAACCAGGCTGCAAAACTCCATCAACTCACAGCCTTTTTGGGGATTGGCGCGCTCCATCGCAGGAGCCTCTCCGATCTGAAGGCCGCACCGGGGCCTAGGGCGCCAAACCTCCTCCCAATAAAATACTCAAAAGCTTCTTGTTTCTCGTCTCTCCAAATTGAAATGCAGCCCGCGGAAATTCAATTTGGTAGACGTCAGCCAAAGTCACCCCCTCCAGGCCGGTTCACATCCCCAGCTATCGCACAGCAAACGCCCCCTTCCAATCACCGTACCGGCCAGGCAGCCGCTTAAAAGCGGAGAAACTCCCACTCTCGGCCTTCTCGAAGCCTTGCAACCACCGCCTCCCCTCCTCCTCCTCTTCACCCTGCCTCCAATCTGCCTTCAATCTGCTTCCCGCTGCCAAATGCCGCCACCAGTGCCTAGGTCCCGGGGGATTGGCGCGCTCCATCGCAGGAGCCTCTCCGATCTGAAGGCCGCACCGGGGCCTAGGGCGCCAAACCTCCTCCCAATAAAATACTCAAAAGCTTCTTGTTTCTCGTCTCTCCAAATTGAAATTACTAATGCTGGTCCAGTTCATACAGGCCAGGTTCCTTCCCCTCCATTGGTCCCTTCAGTCCTTTGCCCCACCCCCCCCCTTTTTTTGATGGCGAGCTGCCCAGGTCCAAAGCCTAGACCCCTCATACTACCCCTATCCTACAGTAGGACATTTGGAACAATAACCACTACGGACATTAAACTGATTATATAGATACAGGTCCTAGCCCAATACTCATATTCATATATGCTGCACTTGCTACTTCCCATTAAAAACCCCAAAGATAAAAAGTATGTTGATACGGACTGCTCTGATTTTATGTGTGGTCTGTGCATGTGTAACTGAGCCTGCATCTGGCACAACATCCAATTAGATCACGTAGATAGTTTTGATTTACCAGCAGCCAACGACATGGAACAAACTGTTAGTCCATGGGTCAGAGACCAACGAGAATGCACCAGCAAAATGATTCCTAACATTATTTTGTTTGCCTACAAAAGTAAGTGGAGACCAACAAGAAACAAATCGCGGTCAAAAAGACTCAAGAGGACTCGAAAGTCAAACCGTAGGACTTGGGACTGACTTGAGATTTGTTGGCCTTTGACTTGGACTCGACTCGGGACTTGCCTGTCTTGACTCGTGACTTGACCTGGGACTTGAGGGCAATGAATTGAGACTGACTTGTGACTTGCTAAACAATGACTTTGTCCCACCTCTGTAAGCTAGTAATACCCGATCCAGTTATTATTATAGATCCATGTCTTCACCTGAGAGTGCTTCAACATTGTGGCTCCGCCCACAATACAAAATGGCTGACTGAGACACGCCCTCTTCAATAAAGTGGCATTCAAACAAGCCCCGGTGATCCAAGATGGCGCCCTATTCAAATGAATGGCCTGTGCTCAGTAGCTCATGGGACTTTATGGAGACCGGGAGATTAGCAGAACTCGCCTGTATTTGGGCATCGTCTGGTCCTCCCGGTTCTGTGCAGTGGACGAGCTTCCATGATGCTTTGCGCCAAACGTGCGCGTGTGGCTCTCATGCACGTGCATAGAGGGGCTCGACCGAGCTTTGACCAATCAGAGCTGCTTATTAGAGCAGCAGCAGCAGAGCGGGAAGGAAAGGAGCAGAGTTTGTGGCAGTAAAGTGTGGATTTAAAGAAAAAGGATTTATGAAGGAAAAAAGTTCAGGATGACAAAGGACACTAAAATCCCCACAAAATCCGATCTTTATGAAAGCTGTAGGTTCTCTGTCAGGTTCTCTGTCAGCTGAGGTCGAGTTGTTTTAGTTTACATTGAGTTCTATGGGACTTTTTTCTGGGTTGCCCATGTGAATTTAGTCTGCAGTACCACAGCGCCCCCTGTGGGCATGGGTGGGACAGCTGTAAGCTAGTAATACCCTATCCAGTTATTATTATAGATCCATGCATTTAAAGGGTACGAAGTAACCCACTTTGTCACACTCTTCCTCCTCTTCCTCATTTGTGACTGTGACACATGTTTCTCTTACGGTAATTTGGCCTCCTGCTGGGACTCTGACGAGATTCACGCAACTAAAATCTGGAACAGTTCTCTGACAATTTTCAAATCCAGGTTAAAACAGTTTTTTTTTTCTTTTTAATGTTCTGTGATTATTAATACCATCTGTGATTGTCTTGTTTTGATCAGTACTTTGAGTTGTGTAAAACTGTGCTATACAAATAAACTGGCCTTGGCTGACACGAAACATCACATCAACTTTAGACAGTATGACGTGAGAGTTAGAGTTAGGTTTAGGGTTAGAGTTAGGTTTAGGGTTTGAGCTGGAGGCCTTCCTCCTGGACGCTGCAGAATGGGGGGAGGGGGGGGGGGGGGGGGGGGGGGGTGCACTAAAGAGCCACACCGTCAGGATGATGCTGTGGCTGTAGGGTGTTCATTGAACACTCTGACAGCTGATTCGGTCCGTGCGGACACACACTGCAGATTCAGAGTGACAGCACTGCGGTGTTCTCCCACAAGGTCATTGCAGCGCGCGGACCGCGGCTCCGAGAGCGTCATATCCCGACCCCACAGGCCCCGTGCGTGCGCAGTGCCCCAAAGACTGAGGCCACATCTCCCTCATCCTTCCTGCCTCGTCCTGCCGCTTTCTGCCGCGTCCTGCCGCGTCCTCGTGTCCTCTGCCACCGCCTCCTCGTCCGCGCGTCATCACCGGACTGTTCTCCAAACGCACGGAGTCAAACCCCGCGCGCCGCGCCCCGCGTGCCGCCGCCTCCACATCAGACACAAAGATCCTAAAGGTCGTTAGAGTCAAGACTTACCTTCGTTACCTCCGCGGCAGGAGAGACGCGGCCGGTAAAGCAGCAGAGCCGTGGGTGCGCAGCGCGGTGACGTAGGCGCCTCCGCTGCCCGCGTTACTACAGCATACGTCGTGCACGCGCTGTCGTTACTACAGTATACGTTGTGCACGCGCGCGGGAGCGGAGAGGCACCGGGACAGACTCATTTGTCAAAGGTTGGAAGCAGCGTGACAGCGTCACGTCCTGCGCGTGCACACATCTGCACGGGCACGGTGCGTAATTGGCCTGGACGCTCACGTGCACATTCCACAGATGTTATGACGTCACATACGAGGGCCACCCCTGGACCAGAGGCACATCAGAGAACTGATAATAATAATATCACATTTGGACCATGTGGACACAGAAGTCATGTCATTAGTATCATTATTGTTATTATTATTAGTCTTAGTATTAGTATTATTATTATTATTATTATTATTAATATTATTATTATTATTATTATTATTAATATTATTATTATTACAAGTATTATTTTTTCAGGAATTAATCTTGCTTATCTTTTCAAGTAAGGAGGAAGCTTGTGCTCTGCTACCATGGGGATGTGTTATGCCTCGTCACATACCATGGGGATGTGTAATGCCTCGTCACATACCATGGGGATGTGTTATGCCTCGTCACATACCATGGGGATGTGTTATGCCTCGTCACATACCATGGGGATGTGTAATGCCTCGTCACATACCATGGGGATGTGTAATGCCTCGTCACATACCATGGGGATGTGTAATGCCTCGTCACATACCATGGGGATGTGTAATGCCTCGTCACATACCATGGGGATGTGTTACGCCTCGTCACATACCATGGGGATGTGTTACGCCTCGTCACATGCCATGGGGATGTGTTACGCCTCGTCACATACCATGGGGATGTGTTACGCCTCGTCACATACCATGGGGATGTGTTACGCCTCGTCACATACCATGGGGATGTGTTACGCCTCGTCACATACCATGGGGATGTGTTACGCCTCGTCACATACCATGGGGATGTGTTACGCCTCGTCACATACCATGGGGATGTGTTACGCCTCGTCACATACCATGGGGATGTGTTACGCCTCGTCACATACCATGGGGATGTGTTATTCCTCGTCACATACCATGGGGATGTGTTATGCCTCGTCACATACCATGGGGATGTGTTATTCCTCGTCACATACCATGGGGATGTGTTATGCCTTGTCACGTACCATGGGGATGTGTTATGCCTTGTCACGTACCATGGGGATGTGTTATGCCTCATCACATCACATACCATGGGGATGTGTTATGCCTCGTCACGTACCATGGGGATGTATTATGCCTCGTCACGTACCATGGGGATGTGTTATGCCTCGTCACGTACCATGGGGATGTGTTATGCCTCGTCACGTACCATGGGGATGTGTTATGCCTCGTCACGTACCATGGGGATATGTTATGCCTCATCACATACCATGGGGATGAGTTATGCCTCATCACATCACATACCATGGGGATGTGTTATGCCTCGTCACATACCATGGGGATGTGTTATTCCCCAGGCCTTACTTACATTGGACCCTGTACCATGAAGCTTGTAAATGTGTACCTTGAACCTGCTCTATGAGAGTTGGTTGGAGCTATTTGTTGTTATCCCAAGACCATGTGAGGTCTGCCGCCTGAGTATCTGGCTGGACCGATGGTGCTAGAGCCACGGAGCTGTACCCATGGTGCTGGACCCATAGTGCTGTACCCATGGTGCTGGAGCCATGGTGCTGGACCAATGGTGCTGGACACCACAGAGTCAGAGTACAGTCTGATAGTGTGTTCAGAGTACAGTCTGAGAGTGTGTTCAGAGTACAGTCTGACAGTGTGTTCAGAGTACAGTCTGAGAGTGTGTTCAGAGTACAGTCTGAGAGTGTGTTCAGAGTACAGTCTGAGAGTGTGTTCAGAGGTACAGTCTGAGAGTGTGTTCAGAGTACAGTCTGACAGTCTGTTCAGAGTACAGTCTGATAGTATGAGTACACTATAGTTATTATAGGCCTAACCCTAACGTCTTTCTTTTATCTTTAAAATAAAGGCCATATGAGGCCATACTTTCATGCAAACGCCAGATCCCTCAGACCTCTGAAGCTAAGCAGGACAGGGTGGGAGGGGCCGATGTGCCCCAGGGCAGCTGTGGCTACAGTAGTAGTTTATCACCACTTTGTCTGGAGTGAAAGAATAATGATGGGAAGAGACTTTGAGAGTCCAGAAACTGATGCATTATTTTTACTTTTACTACATCCGTTTGTTGTGAACATTGTATGTGACAAATAAATATATAAATACCTAAAATAAATATCTAAACATCACATGTGTCTATTATTCTCATTATTATTATTATTATTATTATTGTTTCATATTTCTGAGTGAAATCACAGAACAATAATAAACTTTGAACTGTCGATAGCTGAATACTTCTTCCTTGTTGCTGATTGGTGCGTGGGGGTCACGTGTCCCGGAAGACCCGCAGAGGTGCGGTGGTCGTAAACATAGCTTTAGAACACTTTGATCTCCTGCGGACTTCACGCTCTTTCTTCTTTCATTTCTCGTACAGACATTTATTTCTCTCTCATTTCTTTGTTCTTTTACCGTGTTTAGCTCTGCACAGTCCCGTAAGACGTTATTAGTGACACATGGCGTATCCGGGATACGGAGCCGCTCCCGCTGGGTTCCCAGGGGTAAGTTTTACAGTAAATATTATTAATGAGTTATTATTATAGACCCAGGGGGAAGTTTTACAGTAAATATTAATGATAATAAGTTATTATTATAGACCCAGGGGTAAGTTTTACAGTAAATATTAGTAATAATAAGTTATTATTATAGACCCAGGGGGAAGTTTTGTTATTACAGACGCGGTGATATGTTTGTTTTTATAGACCTATCGGAAAGTTTTAGAAGTAAAAAAAAAAAAAAAAAAAACTTGTGTAAGGGCTGTTTGACCAATAAGGAAAGTGATGGTGCTGGGCCAGATGACCTCCACTGTCACCGGACCTGAACCCAGTCCAGATGGTTTTGGACCTGAACCCAGTCCAGATGTTTTTCATTATTTATATCTGTCTCTCTTAACAAAACATGTTTATTGTACCCAGATTGTGGTATTCTACTTCACCTTTCCTTCATGTGGAAAACTGAGATATAATCCCTCTAAAATATTTCTGATCAACTTACTTACTGATAACACATCTAATTCTAATGAGACTAAATGGCTTCTCCTCCACATGGGCCCTCCATTGTCCTGTCTATTGTCAGGTTACAACGTAACTCTTTTTCATCCACCCTAACTCCTCTGGCTATCTGATCTCTTATAACATAGAGGCCTCTATGCGCCACTCCTTTCGTAGCTTTTAACTCTAAAATGTATACTGATCCGCACCCCAGCGTACACCAGTGTTCTTAAACTGCCCGTACAGTACAGGTGGCTTCAGCTCCAGTCCTCAGGTGTAGCGCAGATACAGCTAAATACACATTCATCTGTAAGATGTCCAGCCCCCACACTAGTAACCTAAGCAACCCCTAAAGCCAACCGTAAAGCAACAATTTAACTTCCCCCTCCACTCTCCTGTGGGTACTCTCCTGTGGGTGCTCTCCTGTGGGTGCTCTCCTGTGGTAGCTCTGCTGTGGGTGCTCTGCTGTGGGTGCTCTCCTGTGGGTGCTCTCCTGTGGGTGCTCTGCTGTGGTTGCTCTGTTGTGGTAGCTCTGCTGTGGGTGCTCTCCTGTGGGTGCTCTCCTGTGGGTGCTCTCCTGTGGGTGCTCTCCTGTGGGTGCTCTCCTGTGGGTGCTCTGCTGTGGGTGCTCTGCTATGGGTGCTCTCCTGTGGGTGCTCTGCTGTGGTAGGTCTGCTGTGGGTGCTCTCCTGTGGGTGCTCTGCTGTGGTTGCTGTGGTAGCTCTGTTGTGGTAGCTCTGCTGTGGGTGCTCTCCTATGGGTGCTCTCCTGTGGTAGCTCTGCTCTGGTAGGTCTGTTGTGGTAGCTCTCCTGTGGTAGCTCTGCTGTGGTAGCTCTGTTGTGGAAGCTCTGCTGTGGTAGGTCTGTTGTGGTAGCTCTGTTGTGGTAGCTCTGCTGTGGGTGCTCTGCTGTGGGTGCTCTGCTGTGGGTGCTCTGCTGTGGTAGCTCTGCTGTGGGTGCTCTCCTGTGGGTGCTCTCCTATGGGTGTGAGTCAAAAGAATTGTGAACAAGTTGTAAATGAGCCAGATCTTCTTACTCAGACATGTGCAGCTGTGATAATAATACACAAACTGTGTCTCTGCAGCAGCAGCAGCAGGACCCTCTGTACGGATACTTCTCCTCTGTGGCCGGTCAGGTACACAAAAATATACACATACTTGCACATACAGTCACGCACCCACGCACACACACAGTGTTTTCTGTAGGATGGACAGTATGTGTGTGCTGTTTTTTTTTTGAAGGATGGACAGATCTCTGCAGACGAGCTGCAACGCTGCCTCACCAGCTCCGGCATCTCAGGCTCCTACAACCGTAAGAGACCAGAGAGAGAGACCAGAGAGAGAGAGACCAGAGAGAGAGAGACCAGAGAGAGAGAGACCAGAGAGAGAGAGACCAGAGAGAGAGAGACCAGAGAGAGAGAGACCAGAGAGAGAGAGACCAGAGAGAGAGAGACCAGAGAGAGAGACCAGAGAGAGAGACCAGAGAGAGAGAGAGAGACCAGAGAGAGAGAGACCAGAGACAGTCTATAGACTGATGCAGACAGGACCTGGCCACAGGTGCACCAGGAGCACAGAGGTGCATACAGTCTGATGTTTGAAGGGAGTAAAGCCTGTGTACACTCGGGCGGCGCTGGTTACGGTTGCGGTTGCGTTGGACCTACGTTATCACAGTTGGACCTACGCAGCCACAGTTGGACCTACGTTATCACAGTTGGACCTACGTTATCACAGTTGGACCTACGTTATCACAGTTGGACCTACGTTATCACAGTTGGACCTACGTTATCACAGTTGGACCTACGTTATCACAGTTGGACCTACGTTATCACAGTTGGACCTACGTAACCACAGTTGGACCTACGTAACCACAGTTGGACCTACGTAACCACAGTTGGACCTACGTAACCACAGTTGGACCTACGTTATCACAGTTGGACCTACGTAACCACAGTTGGATCTACGTTATCACAGTTGGACCTACGTAACCACAGTTGGATCTACGTTATCACAGTTGGACCTACGTAACCACAGTTGGACCTACGTAACCACAGTTGGACCTACGTTATCACAGTCGGACCTACGTTATCACAGTCGGACCTACGTAACCACAGTCGGACCTACGTAACCACAGTCGGACCTACGTAACCACAGTCGGACCTACGTAACCACAGTCGGACCTACGTAACCACAGTCGGACCTACGTAACCACAGTTGGACCTACGTAACCACAGTCGGAACTACGCAGCAACAGTTGGACCTACATGGCAAAGTTGGACCTACAGTGCCTTGCGAAAGTATTCGGCCCCCTTGAACCTTTCAATATTTTGCCACATTTCAGGCTTCAAACATAAAGATAACATTTAAAAATTTTTGTCATGAATCAACAACAAGTGGGACACAATCGTGAAGTGGAACAAAATTTATTGGATAATTTAAACTTTTTTAACAAATAAAAAACTGAAAAGTGGGGCGTGCAATATTATTCGGCCCCTTTACTTTCAGTGCAGCAAACTCACTCCAGAAGTTCAGTGAGGATCTTTGAATGATCCAATGTTAAAGCCGGATTTGGATACAAAAAGATTTCCCAAGCTTTAAACATCTCAAGGAGCACTGTGCAAGCAATTATATTGAAATGGAAGGAGTATCAGACCACTGCAAATCTACCAAGACCCGGCCGTCCCTCCAAACTTTCATCTCAAACAAGGAGAAGACTGATCAGGGATGCAGCCAAGAGGCCCATGATCACTCTGGATGAACTGCAGATAACTACAGCTGAGGTGGGAGAGTCTGTCCATAGGACAACAATCAGTCGTGCACTGCACAAATCTGGTCTTTATGGAAGAGTGGCAAGAAGAAAGCCATTTCTCAAAGATATCCAGAGTCTGGTTTAAAGTTTGCCACAAGCCACCTGGGAGACACACCAAACATGTGGAAGAAGGTGCTCTGGTCAGATGAAACCAAAATCAAACTTTTTGGCCACAATGCAAAACGATATGTTTGGCGTAAAAGCAACACAGCTCATCACCCTGAACACACCATCCCCACTGTCAAACATGGTGGTGGCAGCATCATGGTTTGGGCCTGCTTTTCTTCAGCAGGGACAGGGAAGATGGCTAAAATTGATGGGAAGATGGATGGAGCCAAATACAGGACCATTCTGGAAGAAAACCTGTTGGAGTCTGCAAAAGACCTGAGACTGGGACGGAGATTTATCTTCCAACAGGACAATGATCCAAAACATAAAGCCAAATCTACAATGGAATGGTTCACAAATAGACGTATCCAGGTGTTAGAATGGCCAAGTCAAAGTCCAGACCTGAATCCAATCGAGAATCTGTGGAAAGAGCTGAAGACTGCTGTTCACAAACGCTCTCCATCCAACCTCACTGAGCTCCAGCTGTTTTGCAAGGAAGAATGGGCAAGAATTCCAGTCTCTCAATGTGCAAAACTGATAGAGACATACCCCAAGCTACTTGCAGCTGTATTTGCAGCAAAAGGTGGCGCTACAAATTATTAGGGGGCCAAATAATATTGCACGCCCCACTTTTCAGTTTTTTATTTGTTAAAAAAGTTTAAATTATCCAATAAATTTTGTTCCACTTCACGATTGTGTCCCACATGTTGTAGATTCTTGACAAAAATTTAAATTTTTATATCTTTATGTTTGAAGCCTGAAATGTGGCGAAATGTTGAAAGGTTCAAGGGGGCCAAATACTTTTGCCATGCACTGTACGTAGCCACAGTTGGACCTATGTGACCACAGTTGGTGGTACACTCACGTGTTCCCCTTGCGGAGTGTTGTAATCCCACACCCAACCACATGAGGGCGATCTCACAGGAGTTTAAACCCAAAGCGGTCCCACTTACGCTGCTACTTTCTCCTCTTCAGAACAAAAACAAAGTGAAGCTGTTTGAGATCATTACATGTGTTTCTACTGTAGGTTTATGTGACCGTTCTAAACTCATCGTTTCAACTCATTTAACAGTGATGCTGTGAATAAAGACACAGTTCTGTTGGAAACATAGTTATTATTAAAGTGTATTCATCACAAACAGCAAAACAATAACAGTGGTAAATATCTGAGACAAACATGAACTAAAAGTGCAGGAGGAATGGAACAGACGCGATACGATTCAAACAAGACAGGAACAGTTTATAAGTTATATATGTTAGATATAAGTTATATATACTGCATGTTAGATATAAGTTATATATACAGTATGTTAGATATAAGTTATATATACTGCATGTTAGATATAAGTTATATATACAGTATGTTATATCTAACATGCAGTATATATAACTTATATCTAAGTTATATCTACAGTATGTTAGATATAAATTATATATACTGCATGTTAGATATAAGTTATATATACTGTATGTTAGATATAAGTTATATATACTGTATGTTAGATATAAGTTATATCTACAGTATGTTAGATATAAGTTATATCTACAGTATGTTAGATATAAGTTATATATACTGTATGTTAGATATAAGTTATATACTGCATGTTAGACTCGCCCAGTCTCCTGTATATCAGGCGCTGAGCCCAAACTTCTTTTCCTTCGGTTCCTTCAAAGCGCGAAGCAATCTGCTCCGAAGTGCCTTGTCCATACTTCACACAAAGTAGTCACACACGGACCAATCACAGCGGAGCTTCTCTGCGGCGGCGGCTGCGTGGTTAGAAATGTTGGAGGGTGCGCGGCAGGCTACACAAGGGCCTGCGGTGATCCTTGCGTTGGTCATGTGACGTCACGTCCCCGCCGTAGGCTCCGCCTCCTCCTTTACACCAGGCCTAACAGTGTTGTTCTGTAACCGTCCCCACCGTAAGCTCCGCCTCCTCCTCCTATTGACCAGATGCATCAACGTCATCCAGTCAGGTGATTGTGAATGCGCTTACGGCGGAAGTATTGGAAACTAGCATTGCTGCGAGAGCAAAACGGACACAACTCTTAAAAACGGAGCTTCCTCTCCTAAATCGAGAAGTGGCTGCTTCAAGCAATGTTCGATTACGTTATAGGTGGAAGTAGGACATCAGGTCAGGGCTCACAAAGAGTGGTATTTGGAGAAGTTAAGGATCGCCTAACTGGATGTTGACCCGTACCTTCTCCCCCCAGTCAATTTTATCGATTAAATAAAATGTCTATTTTTGCCCAAATTCACCCTACATGATCTTTATCATTATCGTTAACAATGCACCCCCTCACACTGGAGCAGATTTATATGTACATTTTGCTGGTAGCATTAGCAATAGTCCACTTTTCTGTGGCTTTTCTGTCTACAGCCAAACATGATACGTACTGACGGAGAGGAAAATAGTGAAACACGCAATTGACTTAAAAGATAAAAATGTCAATGTTGCAGCGCACATACAGGACAGTAGTAAGAGACACGTTAGACGTGTGTCATTGTTCTCCAAATTAATGGAAATAAAATAAATACAAACTTGTGATTGCTTTATCTTGTAAAAAGTGTTCACTGCATATTAGGGAGTACTTGGATGGGTCCCAGTCCTTTTGGTTGATTGCCGCTGGCCATCGTCGTCTTCTGTCTTCATGACAAGCAGGTATCAGATAAAAAAGCTTATGTCCTTGCCTGTTAGTATAATCAACCGCACTGCAAAATGTCACAGTTTTGGCTGTAATGCGCTGAAACAGGTTGTTTTGGTCAGGTGTCCGTAGGCTCGCAGTTAGACTTCTGCCGTCTGTCATGGAGAGTGGGCGTGGCCGGGACGTCACATGCAAGGGGTCAATACATCAGGCCTAACAGTGTTCTGTAACCGTCCCCACCGTAAGCTCCGCCTCCTCCTCCACACCAGGCCTAACAGTGTTGTTCTGTAACCGTCCCCACCGTAAACTCCGCCTCCTCCTCCTCCTATACACCAGACCTAACAGTGTTGTTCTGTCCGCAGCGTTCAGCCTGGAGACCTGCCGCCTCATGATCAGCATGTTGGACGTATCCTTGGAGAGACTCTGAGCTACACGTTTCATTTGTGATTTGCTCTGCTCTCTCTGCTCTCTCTTGTCTCTCTCTTTCTGGTCTCTCTCTGGTCTCTCTCTGGTCACTCTCTGGTCTCTCTCTGGTCTCTCTCTCTGCTCTCTCTCTGGTCTCTCTCTCTCTGGTCTCTCTCTGCTCTCTCCCTGCTCTTTAACCCTAACGCTTTGACCTGTACCGTATGTCACTAAATTCTGATGAAGTCACATTATTATCTAATATACAGTGCCTTGCGAAAGTATTCGGCCCCCTTGAACCTTTCAACATTTCGCCACATTTCAGGCTTCAAACATAAAGATATAAAATTTTAAAAAAATTGTCATGAATCAACAACAAGTGGGACACAATCGTGAAGTGGAACAAAATGTATTGGATAATTTAAACTTTTTTAACAAATAAAAAACTGAAAAGTGGGGCGTGCAATATTATTTGGCCCCTTTACTTTCAGTGCAGCAAACTCAGTCCAGAAGTTCAGTGAGGATCTTTGAATGATCCAATGTTGTCCTAAATGACTGATGATGATAAATAGAATGCACCTGTGTGTAATCAAGTCTCCGTATAAATGCACCTGCTTTTTGATAGTCTCAGGGTTCTGTTTAAAGCGCAGAGAGAACCATGAAGACAAAGGAACACACCAGGCAGGTCCGAGATACTGTTGTGGAGAGGTTTAAAGCCGGATTTGGATACAAAAAGATTTCCCAAGCTTTAAACATCTCAAGGAGCACTGTGCAAGCAATTATATTGAAATGGAAGGAGTATCAGACCACTGCAAATCTACCAAGACCCGGCCGTCCCTCCAAACTTTCATCTCAAACAAGGAGAAGACTGATCAGAGATGCAGCCAAGAGGCCCATGATCACTCTGGATGAACTGCAGATAACTACAGCTGAGGTGGGAGAGTATGTCCATAGGACAACAATCAGTCGTGCACTGCACAAATCTGGCCTTTATGGAAGAGTGGCAAGAAGAAAGCCATTTCTCAAAGATATCCATAAAAAGTCTGGTTTAAAGTTTGCCACAAGCCACCTGGGAGACACACCAAACATGTGGAAGAAGGTGCTCTGGTCAGATGAAACCAAAATCGAACTTTTTGGCCACAATGCAAAACGATATGTTTGGCGTAAAAGCAACACAGCTCATCACCCTGAACACACCATCCCCACTGTCAAACATGGTGGTGGCAGCATCATGCTTTGGGCCTGCTTTTCTTCAGCAGGGACAGGGAAGATGGCTAAAATTGATGGGAAGATGGATGGAGCCAAATACAGGACCATTCTGTACAAAACCTGTTGGAGTCTGCAAAAGACCTGAGACTGGGACGGAGATTTATCTTCCAACAGGACAATGATCCAAAACATAAAGCCAAATCTACAATGGAATGGTTCACAAATAGACGTATCCAGGTGTTAGAATGGCCAAGTCAAAGTCCAGACCTGAATCCAATCGAGAATCTGTGGAAAGAGCTGAAGACTGCTGTTCACAAACGCTCTCCATCCAACCTCACTGAGCTCCAGCTGTTTTGCAAGGAAGAATGGGAAAGAATTCCAGTCTCTCGATGTGCAAAACTGATAGAGACATACCCCAAGCGACTTGCAGCTGTAATTGCAGCAAAAGGTGGCGCTACAAAGTATTAGCGCAAGGGGGCCGAATAATATTGCACGCCCCACTTTTCAGTTTTTTATTTGTAAAAAAAGTTTAAATTATTCAATACATTTTGTTCCACTTCACGATTGTGTCCCACTTGTTGTTGATTCATGACAAAAAATGTAATATTTATATCTTTATGTTTGAAGCCTGAAATGTGGCGAAATGTTGAAAGGTTCAAGGGGGCCACTGTATATTGGTACCTGACTGTGATTGGTCGCTGACTGTGGTGATGTCACATGTATTGGTCCCTGACCGTGATTGGTCGCTGACTGTGGTGATGTCACATGTATTGGTCCCTGACTGTGATGATGTCGCATGTATTGGTCCCTGACTGTCTTTCTCAGAGAGACTACTCCGGCTCCATGGGCTTTAACGAGTTTAAGGAGCTGTCCGGGGTCCTGAACCAGTGGAAGACCATGTTTATGCAGTACGACCGAGACCGCAGCGGGACCGTGGACCCCCAGGAGCTGCACCAGGCCCTGGGCCACATGGGTACGCCCCTGCTGGACACTACCGGACACTACAGGACACTACAGGACACTACAGTACTATCACAATACACATGGTACTCCCCCTACAGGACACCACAGTACCATCACAATACACATGGTACTCCCCCTACAGGACACCACAGTACCATCACAATACACATGGTACGCCCCCTACAGGACACCACAGTACTATCACAATACACATGGTACGCCCCCTGCTGGACACTACAGTACTATCATAATACACATGGTACTCCCCCTATAGGACACTACAGTACTATCATAATACACATGGTACTCCCCCTACAGGACACCACAGTACTATCACAATACACATGGTACGCCCCCTGCTGGACACTACAGTACTATCATAATACACATGGTACGCCCCCTACAGGACACCACAGTACTATCACAATACACATGGTACTCCCCCTGCTGGACACTACAGTACTATCACAATACACATGGTACTCCCCCTACAGGACACCACAGTACTATCACAATACACATGGTGCTCCCCCTACAGGACATCACAATACACATGGTACGCCCCCTGCTGGACACTACAGTACTATCATAATACACATGGTACTCCCCCTGCTGAACACCACAGTACTATCACAATACACATGGTATGCCCCCTGCTGGACATTACAGGCATCACTTCCATCACAATACAATGTGTGGGATCTGGATCTGGAGACTGCTGGATATTTATTGATTACTCTAACCCTCCTGTGTCTCTGGTCTCTCCTCTCCTGGTCTCCCCTGGTCTCTCTCCTGGTCTCTCTCCTGGTACAGGTTATAACCTTAGTCCTCAGGCTCTCAGCTCCATTCTGAAGCGCTACAGTCATCACGGCCGCGTCGGCTTCGACGACTTCGTCTGCTGCTGCATCAAACTGAGAGCTCTGACTGGTAACACAACAACACACACACACACACGCTGCTGCTTCAAACTGAGAGCTCTGACTGGTTACACACGTACACATATGGAGCCATGATTGTTTAAACAATATTTGTGCGTGCATACAAAGATATGTGCGTTTGTAACCAGATTTGTGTGTGCGTAAAAATATTTGTGCGTGTGTAAAAAGATTTGTATGTGCGTAACAAGATTTGTGTGTGCGTCACTAGATCTGTGTGTGTGTAAAAATATATATATATATGTTTTACACAGATCACACAAATCAGAAGAACGGAAAAAAGCCTCAGTGCTACGCACAGGCTCTCGTTTTACACACACTTCTCTTTACACACAAATCTCTTTAGACACACTTCTCTTTACACACAAATCTCTTTAGACACACTTCTCTTTACACACACTTCTCTTTAGACACACTTCTCTTTACACACACTTCTCTTTACACACACTTATCTTTAGACACACTTCTCTTTAGACAACTTCTCTTTAGACACACTTCTCTTTAGACACACTTCTCTTTACACACACTTCTCTTTACACACACTTCTCTTTAGACACACTTCTCTTTAGACACACTTCTCGCGCCAGAAGTGTCTCTAAAGAGATTTGTAAGTGCAATGTGGTTGTTCTAGCAGTACACCAGCAGATGGTGCTGTTGAAGCTGGTTATTACCTGTTACCACTTCATCAGTATTCATCAGTATATATACCTGTCTTACAGACCACTTCATCAGTATATATACCTGTCTTACAGACCACTTCATCAGTATATATACCTGTCTTACAGACCACTTCATCAGTATATATACCTGTCTTACAGACCACTTCATCAGTATTCATCAGTATATATACCTGTCTTACAGACCACTTCATCAGTATTCATCAGTATATATACCTGTCTTACAGACCACTTCATCAGTATTCATCAGTATATATACCTGTCTTATAGACCACTTCATCAGTATTCATCAGTATATATACCTGTCTTACAGACCACTTCATCAGTATATATACCTGTCTTACAGACCACTTCATCAGTATTCATCAGTATATATACCTGTCTTACAGACCACTTCATCAGTATATATACCTGTCTTACAGACCACTTCATCAGTATTCATCAGTATATATACCTGTCTTACAGACCACTTCATCAGTATTCATCAGTATATATACCTGTCTTACAGACCACTTCATAAGTATATCTACCTGTCTTACAGACCACTTCATCAGTATTCATCAGTATATATACCTGTCTTACAGTCCACTTCATCAGTATATATACCTGTCTTATAGACCACTTCATCAGTATTCATCAGTATATATACCTGTCTTACAGACCACTTCATCAGTATATATACCTGTCTTACAGACCACTTCATCAGTATTCATCAGTATATATACCTGTCTTACAGACCACTTCATCAGTATATATACCTGTCTTACAGACCACTTCATCAGTATATATACCTGTCTTACAGACCACTTCATCAGTATTCATCAGTATATATACCTGTCTTACAGACCACTTCATCAGTATATATACCTGTCTTACAGACCACTTCATAAGTATTCATCAGTATATATACCTGTCTTACAGACCACTTCATCAGTATATATACCTGTCTTACAGACCACTTCATCAGTATTCATCAGTATATATACCTGTCTTACAGACCACTTCATCAGTATTCATCAGTATATATACCTGTCTTACAGACCACTTCATCAGTATATATACCTGTCTTACAGACCACTTCATCAGTATTCATCAGTATATATACCTGTCTTACAGACCACTTCATCAGTATATATACCTGTCTTACAGACCACTTCATCAGTATATATACCTGTCTTACAGACCACTTCATCAGTATTCATCAGTATATATACCTGTCTTACAGACCACTTCATCAGTATTCATCAGTATATATACCTGTCTTACAGACCACTTCATCAGTATATATACCTGTCTTACAGACCACTTCATCAGTATTCATCAGTATATATACCTGTCTTACAGACCACTTCATCAGTATTCATCAGTATATATACCTGTCTTACAGACCACTTCATCAGTATATATACCTGTCTTACAGACCACTTCATCAGTATTCATCAGTATATATACCTGTCTTACAGACCACTTCATAAGTATTCATCAGTATATATACCTGTCTTACAGACCACGTCATCAGTATATATACCTGTCTTACAGACCACTTCATCAGTATTCATCAGTATATATACCTGTCTTACAGACCACTTCATCAGTATATATACCTGTCTTACAGACCACTTCATCAGTATTCATCAGTATATATACCTGTCTTACAGACCACTTCATCAGTATTCATCAGTATATATACCTGTCTTACAGACCACTTCATCAGTATTCATCAGTATATATACCTGTCTTACAGACCACTTCATCAGTATTCATCAGTATATATACCTGTTTTACAGACCACTTCATCAGTATTCATCAGTATATATACCTGTTTTACAGACCACTTCAGGAGGAGGGATGCGTCTAACTGTGGAAAAGCGAACTTTGCTTATGACGACGTGAGTGAAACTAAAAACACATGTTTCTGATTCTGTTTAATGTTTTCTTTGTTATTTTACAGTTTATCCAAGTCACCATGAGCCTCTGAAGTGACCCTGTACCTGTGCTCTGTACCTGTGCTCTGTACCTGTGCTCTGTACCTGTGCTCTGTACCTGTACTCTGTATCTGTACTCTGTATCTGTACTCAGTACCTGTGCTCTGTACTCATATTATACTTGAGTATCTGTATCATTCCATTTTAAAGCTGTATGTTGTAAGTTTGCTCCTTAGGTCCAAGTCACTTTCTGGTCTCTCTCTCTCTGGTCTCTCTCTGGTCTCTCTCTCTGGTCTCTCTCTCTAGTCTCTCTCTGGTCTCTCTCTGGTCTCTCTCTGGTCTCTCTCTCTAGTCTCTCTCTGATCTCTCTCTGGTCTCTCTCTGGTCTCTCTCTCTGGTCTCTCTCTCTCTCTCTGGTCTCTCTCTCTCTGGTCTCTCTCTCTGGTCTCTCTCTGGTCTCTCTCTCTCTGGTCTCTCTCTGGTCTCTCTCTCTCTGGTCTCTCTCTCTAGTCTCTCTCTGGTCTCTCTCTCTGGTCTCTCTCTCTAGTCTCTCTCTGGTCTCGCTCTCAGGTCTCTCTCTCTGTCGCCTTAATAGTTTAAACACCAATGTATGAATAAAACACATGTAACTTTTTTGTATAATGATAATTCTGGAAACATCTATGTTGTGTGTTTATTTTGAAAAACAGAAGGTGAAGTGCTCAGGGCGGGAGAGGCTGCATTCTCCCTCAGAGTCTGAACTCTCTAATCTCTCTCTGGTCTCGCTCTGGTCTCTCTCTCTAATCTCTCTCTGGTCTCTCTCTAATCTCTCTCTGGTCTCTCTCTAATCTCTCTCTAATCTCTCTCTGGTCTCTCTCTAATCTCTCTCTGGTCTCTCTCTTTAATCTATCTCTGGTCTTTCTAATCTCTCTCTGGTCTCTCTCTGGTCTATCTCTCTAATCTCTGGTCTCTCTCTAATCTCTCTGGTCTCTCTCTCTAATCTCTCTCTGGTCTCTCTCTAATCTCTCTATGGTCTCTCTGGTCTCTCTCGCTAATCTCTCTCTGGTCTCTCTCTAATCTCTCTCTAATCTCTCTGGTCTTTCTCTGGTCTCTCTAATCTCTCTCTGGTCTCTATCTTTAATCTATCTCTGGTCTTTCTAATCTCTCTCTGGTCTCTCTAATCTCTCTCTGGTCTCTCTATGGTCTCTCTGGTCTCTCTCGCTAATCTCTCTCTCTCTCTAATCTCTCTGGTCTCTCTCTAATCTCTCTGGTCTCTCTCTTCTCTCTCTAATCTAATCTCTCTCTGGTCTCTCTCTAATCTCTCTGGTTTCTCTCTAATCTCTCTCTGGTCTCTCTCTCTAATCTCTCTCTGGTCTTTCTCTAATCTCTCTCTGGTCTCTCTCTGATATAATCCTTTTTATTGATCCAGTGAACAAACACAGTTAATATGAACATGGGCAGAGTTTAGACTTCTACAAACTCAATCTCCCAGAATGCACTGCTGTGTACTACTTCCGGTTCCATCTCCGTCATCAATCTAACATGGCGGCGGTGTAGGAGCAAAACACCGGCGCGAGCGGCTTCAAACCTCAGACCTGAGGAATTCTTCAGTAACTGACTTTAACCGGGCACAGACACATGCTGGCTCCGGCGGACTCAGCGGAGGGCCGTCTGCAGCGCGCACGGGACCTCCAGGAGTTCCTCCGGGGGTGCCGAGAGCAGCTGAGGGCTGTGAGTGCGGAGCTGGGCTGGAGCTGCGAGAATCCGGGCAGAATCTGGAAGTGTGGGTCCCAGGTGAGAGGGGGAGAGAGGGGACGGTGGGGGTGATGAGGGGAGGTTGGGGGAGTTAGAGAGCTATGATGCAGGTGTATCCATGTGACTGTCTCACATTAGAGATAGATACTTTATTGATCCCTGTTGGAGAAATGCAAGTGTCCAGTAGCAGCAAAAATAACAAATAATATTGATCATTCTGAAAACATAATAGTAATAGTCAGCAACAGCCTCAGGTCACAGCAGCAGAGGTGGAGTAGCCTCTGGGTGGAGCAGGACAGGTCACAGCAGCAGAGGTGGAGTAGCCTCTGGTTGGAGCAGGACGGGTCACAGCAGCAGAGGTGGAGTAGCCTCTGGGTGGAGCAGGACGGGTCAAAGGTGGAGCAGCAGCTTGGTTTTCTCTGCTCTAGTCCAAAGTAAAATGCAAAATGCTTCATTAGTATTTTTCTAAAAGTTAGCATTCCTCCAGTGGATTTTCACCTGATCCACTTGGTCTGGACCAGTGTAAAACCATGAATCCTCTCTGCTCTGGTCTGGACCAGTGTAAAACCATGAATCCTCTCTGCTCTGGTCTGGACCAGTGTAAAACCATGAATACTCTCTGCTCTGGTCTGGACCAGTGTAAAACCATGAATCCTCTCTGCTCTGGTCTGGACCAGTATAAAACCATGAATCCTCTCTGCTCTGGTCTGGACCAGTGTAAAACCATGAATCCTCTCTGCTCTGGTCTGGACCAGTGTAAAACCATGAACACTGAACTGCAACAACATCTCGGGCAGTAAAAACAATACAAATAAAAATTGATGAAGCACAAAACAACTGTTTTAGAGACACTTAGGACCAGCAGCCGTTTCCAGAAGCATTGTTCAAAAATATATATATATTTTTTTAAAGTAGAGTGGACTATAGTAGAGTAGATTATGGTTCATTATATCAGATTCTAGTACAGTACATTATAGTAGATTATGGTTCATTATAGTGGAGTAGATTATGGTTCATTATAGTGGAGTAGATTATGGTTCATTGTAGTGGAGTAGATTATGGTTCATTATAGTGGAGTAGATTATAGTAGATTATGGTTCATTATAGTGGAGTAGATTATAGTAGATTATGGTTCATTGTAGCGGAGTAGATTATAGTAGATTATGGTTCATTATAGTGGAGTAGATTATATTAGATTATGGTTCATTGTAGTGAAGTAGATTATAGTAGATTATGGTTCATTGTAGTGGAGTAGATTATAGTAGATTATGGTTCATTGTAGTGGAGTAGATTATATTAGATTATGGTTCATTATAGTGGAGTAGATTATAGTGGAGTAGATTATAGTGGAGTAGATTATAGTGGAGTAGATTATAGTGGAGTAGATTATAGTAGAGTAGATTATAGTAGAGTAGATTATAGTAGAGTAGATTATAGTAGAGTAGATTATAGTAGAGTAGATTATAGTAGAGTAGAGTAGAGTAGAGTAGAGTAGAGTAGATTATATTAGAGTAGATTATATTAGAGTAGATTATATTAGAGTAGATTATAGTAGATTATGGTTCATTATAGTGGAGTAGATTATAGTAGATTATGGTTCATTGTAGTGGAGTAGATTATAGCAGAGTGGGTTAGAGTAGATTATAGTAGATTATGGTTCATTATAGTGGAGTAGATTATGGTTCATTATAGTGGAGTAGATTATAGTGGAGTAGATTATAGTAGGGTAGATTATAGTAGATTAAGGTTCATTATAGTGGAGTAGATTATATTAGATTATGGTTCATTGTAGTGGAGTAGATTATAGCAGAGTGGGTTATAGTAGAGTAGATTATAATATAGTTGTGTGTTTCCAGCAGGAGATGGTTCAGTGTCGTCTGGATCCAAACCACAAAGTTCCACAGAGAAGTTTGGAAAAACATCAGAAAAAATGTCTGCTTCAAAAGATGGACTACTCTACAGAAGAACAGGTGAGAGCACTCTCTATGGTCTCTCTCTCTGGTCTCTCTCTGGTCCCTCTCTGGTCTCTCTCTGGTCTCTCTCTGGTCTCACTCTGGTCTCACTCTCTGGTCTCACTCTGGTCTCTCCCTGGTCTCTCCCTGGTCTCTCTCTGGTCTCACTCTGGTCTCCCTCTCTGGTCTCACTCTGGTCTCACTCTGATCTCTCTCTGATCTCTCTCTGGTCTCTGACTCATGTGTTTTACGTTTGGTTCCAGGAGGAGATGATAAACACGTCTTTCTGCTACGAGAACACCGCAGCCAAGACCTTTGTGATGGGTCAGCCACATTCTCACACTGATCAAATATACTGTAGTGCTCTCTCTAGTCTCTCACTGGTCTCTCTCTGGTCTCTCTCTGGTCTCTCACTGGTCTCTCTCTGGTCTCTCTCTGGTATCTCTCTGGTCTCTCTCTGGTGTCTTCCTGGTCTCTCTCTGGTCTCTCTCTGGTGTCTTCCTGGTCTCTCTCTGGTCTCTCTCTGGTCTCTCTCTGGTCTCTCTCTGGTCTCTCTCTGGTCTCTCTCTGGTCTCTCTCTGGTCTCTCTCTGGTCTCTCTCTGGTCTCTCTCAGGTCTCTCTCTGGTCTTTCTAGTCTCTCTCTAGTCTCTCTCTAGTCTCTCTCTGGTCTCTCACTGGTCTCTCTCTGGTCTCTCACTGGTCTCTCACTGGTCTCTCTCTGGTCTCTCTCTGGTGTCTTCCTGGTCTCTCTCTGGTCTTCATTCTTCTTCTCTTCAGACCAGCAGACGCAGCAGGAGGTGGTGTTGGGTGCTCGCTCTGCTGCTCCGCTCATGAGGAGAGAAGGAGTGTTCTGGCAAGGTCTGTCCTCCTCCTCTCTCCTCTCTCCTCCTCCTTTGTCCTCCTCCTTTGCCCTCCTCCTTTGTCCTCCTCCGCTGTCCTCCTCCTTTGTCCTCCTCCTTTGCCCTCCTCCTTTGCCCTCCTCCTTTGTCCTCCTCCGCTGTCCTCCTCCTCTGTCCTCCTCCTTTGTCCTCCTCCTCTGTCCTCCTCCTTTGTCCTCCTCCTCTGTCCTCCTCCTTTGTCCTCCTCCTCTGTTCTCCTACTTTGTCCTCCTCCTTTGTCCTCCTCCTTTGTCCTCCTCCGTCCTCCTCCTCTGTCCTCCTCCTCTGTCCTCCTCCTTTGTCCTCCTCCTCTGTCCTCCTCCTCTGTCCTCCTCCTCTCTCCTCCATCTTTGCCCTCCTCCTTTGCCCTCCTCCTTTGTCCTCCTCCTTTGCCCTCCTCCTTTGTCCTCCTCCGCTGTCCTCCTCCTTTGTCTTCCTCTGTCCTCCTCCTCTGTCCTCCTCCTTTGTCCTCCTCCTCTGTCCTCCTCCTTTGTCCTCCTCCTCTGTCCTCCTACTTTGTCCTCCTCCTTTGTCCTCCTCCTCTGTCCTCCTCCTCTGTCCTCCTACTTTGTCCTCCTCCTTTGTCCTCCTCCTCTGTCCTCCTCCTTTGTCCTCCTCCTCTGTCCTCCTCCTTTGTCCTCCTCTGTCCTCCTCCTTTGTCCTCCTCTCTCCTCCTCCGCCCTTCTCCTTTGTCCTCCTCCTTTGTCCTCCTCTGTCCTCCTCCTCTGTCCTCCTCCTTTGTCCTCCTCCTCTGTCCTCCTCCTTTGTCCTCCTCCTCTGTCCTCCTCCTTAGTCCTCCTCCTCTGTCCTCCTACTTTGTCCTCCTCCTTTGTCCTCCTCCTCTGTCCTCCTCCTTTGTCCTCCTCCTCTGTCCTCCTAATTTGTCCTCCTCCTTTGTCCTCCTCCTCTGTCCTCCTCCTTTGTCCTCCTCCTTTGTCCTCCTCCTTTGTCCTCCTCTGTCCTCCTCCTGTGTACTCCTCCTCTGTCCTCCTCCTTTGTCCTCCTCCTCTGTCCTCCTTTGTCCTCCTCCTCTGTCCTCCTCCTTTGTCCTCCTCCTCTGTCCTCCTACTTTGTCCTCCTCCTTTGTCCTCCTCCTCTGTCCTCCTCCTTTGTCCTCCTCCTCTGTCCTCCTACTTTGTCCTCCTCCTTTGTCCTCCTCCTCTGCCCTCCTCCTTTGTCCTACTTTGTCCTCCTCCTTTGTCCTCCTCCTCTGTCCTCCTACTTTGTCCTCCTCCTTTGTCCTCCTCCTCTGTCCTCCTCCTCTGTCCTCCTACTTTGTCCTCCTCCTCTGTCCTCCTCCTTTGTCCTCCTCCTCTGTCCTCCGCCTTTGTCCTCCTCCTCTGTCCTCCTCCTTTGTCCTCCTCCTCTGTCCTCCTACTTTGTCCTCCTCCTCTGTCCTCCTACTTTGTCCTCCTCCTCTGTCCTCCTCCTTTGTCCTCCTCCCTTGTCCTCCTCTGTCCTCCTTTGTCGTCCTCCTCTGTCCTCCTCCTCTGTCCCCCTTCCTTGTGATGTCACATGTTTGTTCTTCAGGTGAGTTTAGCTCCGCCCCCGCTGCCGTCCCGCAGAACCACAAGAGGGCGCTGTGTGACCTGACTGTGGCCGATCGATTGGCTCTGTACAATCATGTGATTAGCCAAACGACCAATCAGGAAGAAGCATCATCCAACAAAGACGACCTGTACGTGGACCTGGTCCAGAAGATGCAGAAAGGTACAGACCCCTACAGACCCCTACAGACCCCTACAGACCCCTACAGACCTCTACGGACCCCTACAGACCCCTACAGACCTCTACAGACCTCTACAGACCTCTACAGACCCCTACAGACCTCTACAGACCCCTACAGGCCCCTACAGACCCCTACAGGCCCCTACAGACCTCTACAGACCCCTACAGGCCCCTACAGACCCCTACAGACCTCTACGGACCTCTACAGACCTCTACAGACCTCTACAGACCTCTACAGACCCCTACAGACCTCTACAGACCCCTACAGACCTCTACAGACCTCTACAGACCTCTACAGGCCCCTACAGACCTCTACAGACCCCTACAGACCTCTACGGACCTCTACAGACATCTACAGGCCCCTACAGGCCCCTACAGACCCCTACAGACCCCTACAGACCTCTACGGACCTCTACAGACCTCTACAGACCTCTACAGACCTCTACAGACCCCTACAGACCTCTACAGACCTCTACAGACCTCTAAAACAGACCTCTACAGACCTCTACAGGCCCCTACAGACCTCTACAGACCCCTACAGACCTCTACGGACCTCTACAGACCCCTACAGACCTCTACAGGCCCCTACAGGCCCCTACAGACCCCTACAGACCCCTACAGACCTCTACGGACCTCTACAGACCTCTACAGACCTCTACAGACCCCTACAGACCTCTACAGACCTCTACAGACCCCTACAGACCTCTACAGACCCCTACAGACCCCTACAGACCCCTACAGACCTCTACAGGCCCCTACAGACCTCTACAGGCCCCTACAGACCCCTACAGACCCCTACAGACCTCTACAGACCTCTACAGACCCCTACAGACCTCTACAGGCCCCTACAGACCCCTACAGACCCCTACAGACCCCTACAGACCTCTACGGACCTCTACAGACCTCTACAGACCTCTACAGACCTCTACAGACCCCTACAGACCCCTACAGACCCCTACAGACCTCTACAGGCCCCTACAGACCTCTACAGGCCCCTACAGACCCCTACAGACCCCTACAGACCTCTACAGACCTCTACAGGCCCCTACAGACCTCTACAGGCCCCTACAGGCCCCTACAGACCTCTACAGACCCCTACAGACCCCTACAGACCTCTACAGACCTCTACAGACCTCTACAGGCCCCTACAGGCCCCTACAGACCCCTACAGACCTCTACAGACCTCTACAGGCCCCTACAGACCCCTACAGACCCCTACAGACCTCTACACACCCCTACAGTGTTGTATATAAATAAATGATACTAAACTGTTCCAGAGGAGACGCAGCCTCAGCCTCAGACTCAGTTGGAGCTGATGGTTCAGAGGAGAGACTACAAGAGAAGGAGAGAGACCTACAGGGCCAAGAACGTCCACATCACCAAGAAGTCCTACTCACAGGTACACAGGGACACAGGTACACAGGGACACAGGTACAGAGACTACAAGAGAAGGAGAGAGACCTACAGGGCCAAGAGCGTCCACATCACCAAGAAGTCCTACTCACAGGTACACAGGGACACAGTGTTAGGATTAGATAGCAATATGGCCTACGTGCAGGACTAAACAAGGACTCTTCTGATGGTGCATTCACGGACTGTCCGAGAGGTCTGCCAACTTCTTTTCCGGGTCGGAATATTCAATTTAAAAACAAAAGTGACAGAAGCGACAAGAAGCCTCCAGGACCAGCTCTTCCCGCTGGACTCTCCGTTCCCAGACACAGCCGCTCTCTCACGCCGAGGAAAAGAAACAAAGGAAACTCCCTCAAAACAACCAGAGAATGGCGCACACTGAGCCGCGCATTCTCCACCAAATCTGTCAGGAATGAAGCAGACAGAGACGGATCGTGGTGCGCCAAACTCTGGAAGTTTATTTAAGTTTCTCTCAAGTTTCTCTCAGACAGAATAAAGTACACAGTTTATATAGTCATTGTCACGTCACACATGGAAAGACATGTCACACAGAGACAGTCACATCAGAGTCACAACATGGAGTCATCAGAGTCTGCATACAGTCCTGCACGTAGGCCATAAGGCTATCTAATACTAACAACAGGGACAGGGACAGAGACACAGGGACACAGGTACAGAGACACAGGTACAGAGACACAGGTACAGAGACACAGGTACAGAGACACAGGTACAGAGACACAGGGACACGGGTACAGAGACACAGGGACACGGGTACAGAGACACAGGGACACAGGTACAGAGACACAGGTACAGAGACACAGGGACAGAGACACAGGTACAGAGACACAGGGACAGAGACACAGGGACAGAGACACAGGGACAGAGACACAGGGACAGAGACACAGGGACAGAGACACAGGGACAGAGACACAGGGACAGAGACACAGGGACAGAGACACAGGGACAGAGACACAGGGACAGAGACACAGGGACAGAGGTACAGAGACACAGAGGCACAGGGACAGAGGCACAGAGACACAGGGACACGGGTACAGAGACACAGGGACAGAGACACAGGGACAGAGGTACAGAGACACAGGGACAGAGACACAGGGACAGAGGTACAGAGACACAGGGACAGAGACAAAGGGACACAGGTACAGGGACAGAGACACAGGTACAGAGGGACAGGGACACGGACACAGGGACACAGGTACAGGGACACAGGTACAGAGACACAGTTACAGAGACACAGGGACAGAGTCACAGGGACACGGGTACAGAGACACAGGTACAGGGACACAGGTACAGGGACACAGGTACAGAGACACAGGGACAGAGACACAGGGACAGAGACACAGGGACAGAGACACGGGTACAGAGACACAGGGACACAGGTACAGAGACACAGGGACACAGGTACAGAGACACAGGTACACGGGTACAGAGACACAGGGACACGGGTACAGAGACACAAGGACACGGGTACAGAGACACAGGGACACGGGTACAGAGACACAGGGACACGGGTACAGAGACACAGGGACACGGGTACAGAGACACAGGGACACGGGTACAGAGACACAGGGACACGGGTACAGAGACACAGGGACACGGGTACAGAGACACGGGTACAGAGACACAGGTACAGAGACACAGGTACAGAGACACAGGTACAGAGACACAGGGACACGGGTACAGAGACACAGGGACACGGGTACAGAGACACAGGGACACGGGTACAGAGACACAGGGACACGGGTACAGAGACACAGGGACACGGGTACAGAGACACAGGGACACGGGTACAGAGACACAGGGACACGGGTACAGAGACACAGGGACACGGGTACAGAGACACAGGGACACGGGTACAGAGACACAGGGACACGGGTACAGAGACACAGGGACACGGGTACAGAGACACAGGGACACGGGTACAGAGACACAGGGACACGGGTACAGAGACACAGGGACACGGGTACAGAGACACAGGGACACGGGTACAGAGACACAGGGACACGGGTACAGAGACACAGGGACACGGGTACAGAGACACAGGGACACGGGTACAGAGACACAGGTACAGAGACACAGGTACAGAGACACAGGTACAGAGACACAGGTACAGAGACACAGGTACAGAGACACAGGTACAGAGACACAGGTACAGAGACACAGGTACAGAGACACAGGGACACGGGTACAGAGACACAGGTACAGAGACACGGGTACAGAGACACAGGTACAGAGACACAGGTACAGAGACACAGGTACAGAGACACAGGTACAGAGACACAGGTACAGAGACACAGGTACAGAGACACAGGTACAGAGACACAGGGACAGAGACACAGGGACAGAGACACAGGGACAGAGACACAGGGACAGAGACACAGGGACAGAGACACAGGGACAGAGACACAGGGACAGAGACACAGGGACAGAGACACAGGGACAGAGACACAGGTACAGAGACACAGGGACACGGGTACAGAGACACGGGTACAGAGACACGGGTACAGAGACACGGGTACAGAGACACGGGTACAGAGACACGGGTACAGAGACACGGGTACAGAGACACGGGTACAGAGACACGGGTACAGAGACACAGGTACAGAGACACAGGTACAGAGACACAGGGACAGAGTCACAGGGACACGGGTTCAGAGACACGGGTTCAGAGACACAGGGACAGAGACACAGGGACAGAGACACAGGGACAGAGACACAGGGACAGAGACACAGGGACAGAGACACAGGGACAGAGACACAGGGACAGAGACACAGGTACAGAGTCACAGGGACACGGGTACAGAGACACAGGTACAGAGACACAGGTACAGAGACACCGGGACACAGGTACAGAGACACAGGTACAGAGACATAGGTACAGAGACATAGGTACAGAGACATAGGTACAGAGACATAGGTACAGAGACACAGGTACAGAGACACAGGTACAGAGACACAGGGACAGAGACACAGGGACAGAGTCACAGGGACACGGGTTCAGAGACACAGGTACAGAGACACAGGTACAGAGACACAGGTACAGAGACACAGGTACAGAGACACAGGTACAGAGACACAGGTACAGAGACACAGGGACAGAGACACAGGGACAGAGTCACAGGTACAGAGTCACAGGGACACGGGTTCAGAGACACAGGGACAGAGACACAGGGACAGAGACACAGGGACAGAGACACAGGGACAGAGACACAGGGACAGAGACACAGGGACAGAGTCACAGGGACACGGGTACAGAGACACGGGTACAGAGACACGGGTACAGAGACACGGGTACAGAGACACGGGTACAGAGACACGGGTACAGAGACACGGGTACAGAGACACGGGTACAGAGACACGGGTACAGAGACACGGGTACAGAGACACGGGTACAGAGTCACGGGTACAGAGACACGGGTACAGAGACACGGGTACAGAGACACGGGTACAGAGACACGGGTACAGAGACACGGGTACAGAGACACGGGTACAGAGACACGGGTACAGAGACACGGGTACAGAGACACGGGTACAGAGACACGGGTACAGAGACACGGGTACAGAGACACGGGTACAGAGACACGGGTACAGAGACACGGGTACAGAGACACGGGTACAGAGACACGGGTACAGAGACACGGGTACAGAGACACGGGTACAGAGACACGGGTACAGAGACACGGGTACAGAGACACGGGTACAGAGTCACAGGGACACGGGTTCAGAGACACGGGTTCAGAGACACGGGTTCAGAGACACGGGTTCAGAGACACAGGGACACAGGTACAGAGACACAGGTACAGAGACACAGGTACACGGGTTCAGAGACACAGGGACAGAGACACAGGGACAGAGTCACAGGGACACGGGTACAGAGACACGGGTACAGAGACACGGGTACAGAGACACGGGTACAGAGACACGGGTACAGAGACACGGGTACAGAGACACGGGTACAGAGACACGGGTACAGAGACACGGGTACAGAGACACGGGTACAGAGACACGGGTACAGAGACACGGGTACAGAGACACGGGTACAGAGTCACAGGGACACGGGTTCAGAGACACGGGTTCAGAGACACGGGTTCAGAGACACGGGTTCAGAGACACGGGTTCAGAGACACAGGGACACAGGTACAGAGACACAGGTACACGGGTTCAGAGACACAGGGACAGAGACACAGGGACAGAGTCACAGGGACACGGGTTCAGAGACACAGGGACAGAGACACAGGTACAGAGACACAGGTACAGAGTCACAGGGACACGGGTACAGAGTCACAGGGACACGGGTACAGAGTCACAGGGACACGGGTACAGAGACACAGGTACAGAGACACAGGGACACAGGTACAGAGACACAGGTACAGAGACATAGGTACAGAGACACAGGTACAGAGACACAGGTACAGAGACACAGGTACAGAGACACAGGGACAGAGTCACAGGGACACGGGTTCAGAGACACAGGTACAGAGACATAGGTACAGAGACATAGGTACAGAGACATAGGTACAGAGACACAGGTACAGAGACACAGGTACAGAGACACAGGGACAGAGACACAGGTACAGAGACACAGGGACAGAGTCACAGGTACAGAGTCACAGGGACACAGGTTCAGAGACACAGGGACAGAGACACAGGGACAGAGACACAGGGACAGAGACACAGGGACAGAGTCACAGGGACACGGGTACAGAGACACGGGTACAGAGACACGGGTACAGAGACACGGGTACAGAGACACGGGTACAGAGACACGGGTACAGAGACACGGGTACAGAGACACGGGTACAGAGACACGGGTACAGAGACACGGGTACAGAGACACGGGTACAGAGACACGGGTACAGAGACACGGGTACAGAGACACGGGTACAGAGACACGGGTACAGAGACACGGGTACAGAGACACGGGTACAGAGACACGGGTACAGAGACACGGGTACAGAGACACGGGTACAGAGACACGGGTACAGAGACACGGGTACAGAGACACGGACACAGGGACAGAGACACAGGGACACAGGTACAGAGACACAGGTACAGAGACACAGGTACACGGGTTCAGAGACACAGGTACACGGGTTCAGAGACACAGGGACAGAGTCACAGGGACAGAGTCACAGA